CTGTAGGAGCGTTAATGTACTTGGCTAGTCACACTAGACCAGACATTTGTTTTGCCGTGAACCTCCTAGCTCGCTTCAGCTCATGTCCAACTCAGAGGCACTGGAATGGTATCAAACACCTCCTAAGATACCTTCAAGGTACTAAAGACTTAGGACTGTTTTACACTAACCACAACAAGGATGGACTAGTTGGTTTTGCTGATGCAGGTTATCAATCAGATCCGCACAATGCCAAGTCTCAAACTGGTTATGTGTTCACGCATGGAGGAACAGATATCTCTTGGAGATCGATAAAGCAGACAATCACTACCACTTCATCAAACCATGCAGAACTTTTGGCCATTCACGAAGCCAGCAGAGAATGTGTTTGGCTACGATCCATGACTCAGCACATCCGATCAGATTGTGGTATGAAAGAAGATAAGGAGCCCACGGTTATGTTTGAAGACAACGCGGCTTGCATTGCTCAACTCAAGGAAGGTTATATCAAAGGAGATCGGACGAAGCACATCCTACCGAAATTCTTCTCAACCTCGGATTGGCAGACGATCAGCGTTCAACAGGTCCGATCATGCGATAACTCCGCCGACCTTTTCACCAAATCATTGCCCGCTTCAACACTCCGGAAGCTCATCCAACAAATAGGAATGCGTAGACTTAGAGATCTACGGTGATGCTCTAATCAGGGGGAGTAATGCGTGTTGTACTCTTTTTCCTTCACCATGGTTTTTCCCACTGGGTTTTCCTGGTAAGGTTTTAATGAGGCAACATTCCCCAGCGTATTATCGAGATCCCGATTGACCATCAGGTCCGGTTACTCCGTCCAAGGGGGAGTGTTATAATACATCATATTGGACTTATAACCGGGCCCAATAAGCCCATCAGGGTTATTCATTATGTACTCTAAAACCCTAGGTTTATATGCCTATATATATGTATCATTATTCATGGAATGGAATAAGATAACAATAAGTTTCACAACAAAACCGATATTTAACTTTGTTTAAATGTATAACAATAAACCCTAATCCCTATTTTATAAACCCAAACCAATATGTTAGTTTGTTTAAATGTATAAAAATATATCTTAACATAAACCCTAAACCTTAACGCTAAAAGAGTATGTTTTAGGATGTCAATGTGTAGTTTATCTATGTCGGATGTGTCCATGTGGATGTGACCATTGACAAATATGCTAACTTTTATCATGAGAATTTTGTAACTTTTTTAAATGTATCTCTAAACCTTATCTCCTACCTTATAAACCTAAACCGATATGTAACTTCGTTTAAATTGATGTGAGTCAAATTAGACCTAAGACTATTCTCTCAAATAAGAGATCAATTGCAGTACTTTAGGGTCGAATTCCACAAAGCTCTCGTGTTCACACAATAAATTAGCAGGTTTTGAACTAAGCTAAACATGAAATTAAATAAATTAAAAGACAAGAAAGCAATTAGATCGAGTTTTAAATCAGATGAGAAAAACGTCAGGCTTAGAGATTTCTCAGGAAATAAATAAATAGTAGATCTAGCAAATTAATTAGGATTATTAACAAACCGATCTAGAACTCAAATCACTAATGTATAGCTAACCACCTTCTCGAATGCGTTGACTAACTAATCTAATATCCGGTAATTCCATCTTCTCGAATTCGAATTCCTAGATCTAAACTAGCATTAAAAACAGGTTTGATATGTTCACAAATATTCCTACACCATATCTCGTATGAATCTAGAAATCTCAGCCCACCTAAGATAGTTCCAGTAATAGATGACCTCTCGAATCTACCTATTATCCTAAAATCAAATTTTATGTGATCAAGCTAGAATTAGCATTGAGAACAACCTAACATAAAGAATTCTATAGATTAATTCTAACAGGTTATCGATCTACTAATTCATCTAAATCCCTAATGAGAATTTCTAAACCTAACAGGCAAAATACTCAGACATGGGGATTGAAACAAACAACATGATTGAATAGAATTGCATTAAGAGAAATTAAGAAGAGATTAGAGTTTAGAAAGATCTTCTCTGGAGGACCTATCTCCAATTATCTCCCAAATGGTTCAAGCTCCCAAAAATACAATAGAATAAAGCTTAAGAGATCTCAGATCTCCGAGAAGTCTTTAAAACAAAACCCTAAAAAACTCATTATATGTTCTTAAAAACGTGCAGGGACTTCTTTGGAAATAGGAAAAAGTTCTGGGGCGATTCTACAAATCTTCATAACTTCAAAAAGACTCGAAATTGCATTGTCGTCAGATATTGGTGTCGCCGACATTAGGGGTGGTGTCGATCGACACTTACACGAATTTTGGTCTCCGGATTGCTCTTGCAGCATAATATCTCGGTTTTACTCCAGAATGATCCATAATCTCTATATTGGTCCTGAACATACATAAACCTGAAAAATACTAGAAAAGACTCTAAAAATAACAAACTCTAAAAACAATACATATATCATGGCTAAAAACGGTAAAATCCATGATATATCATAAATGAATAACACTAAACCCTAACCCCTACTTTATAAATCCAAACAAATGTGTAACTTCATTTGAATGTATATTTCTAAAGCCTAACATGAGAGTAGAAAAAATTAAACAGGGCTATACCAAATAGCAAAATATTAACATGGTACATATGGAACTAATCATTTAACAGTCAAACAAAATTATGTGAGTAACGATCTTAGAAGTAAAAACATATACTACCTAGTCAACTTAAACCAACAATGTGTGTAGATACTCCGTCCACATGGACTTGACCAACAATTGAGTCGTTAAGATCAAGGAATTTTTTTTTGTGTAAGAAACTATAGCACGATGTGGAGAAAGAAAATAAACTGAACAATGGTGAACTAAATATTATGTTCATAAAAATATGTCTAGTTGGATGAGCTTGCATGTATGGTTATTTACAAAAACATAGTTAATATGTCCAAATACTCAGGTACATTGTATATAAATGCTTTGAATATATTAAGTTTAAGCATGTGTTCACTTTTGGATGGTCAGATAAATAAATAAATATATCTAATAGTAAAAATATGAACAATAGACATTTGATCAGAGTTTAGCACATGTATAGTCCACCGAGAAACCTTATCCTTATTAATCCATGTGATCAGAGTTTAGCGGATATGCTTGGATGATCGATAGTAATATTTGTGTAATAGGTTTGATACGAGCAATAAAACGATTGGTTTCTGTTCTAGTATTTGTGGACATGATCTGTTGGATGGAATTGATCTGGATATAAATGTTTGGGATATGTTAATGAATCTAATTGCATTCATTAATTTTGTGTTGACCACTAGATTCTTAAAATTTAAAAAGTAAATAAATGTTTTAAATTGATAGAGGTGTTTATTTAATTACAAACGAACAATTAGACGAAGAAATTGGATGATGATGTGACATTAGTAGTGATTATCTAATAGTTTGATAAATTAGGTATATATATAGTTTTTTATATGATTAGATACAAATAAATATTTATATACGAAATAACAGTTGATCATCCATATAATAACAAACAAATGTTTAAAGAGAAATAGATAATATGAAATATAATTATTTATCTAAAATATAGTAAAATGGATCATAAAATATAGTTAGATTGAAATCATAATTTATTGTATAAAGAAAAATAGACAATATATGTGATATTAAATAATTTAAGTGATTGAGAAACAAAAAAAAAAAGAGAATGGGAGAAAAAAAAGAGAGAGAGAGAGAGAGAGACGGAGTAGCGACGATAAAAGAAGAAGAAAAAGAAGAGTATACTTCTTCCGTTTCATATATAAGTCGTTTTAGGTAAAAGAACGCCGATTAAGAATATTTACTTTTTAAAAGTTCAACTAGTCATAAAAGAGACTGCATAATATAAGTAATCACAAAATATTAAAGTAATATATAATTTGCATTGAAACTCGAAAACGACTTATATTGTGAAACAAAAAACTTTATCCAAAATGTCTTATATTATGTAACGGAGGGAGTATATAACTATAATTGAAAGACATAAGAGTTGGTTTTGTTGAAGGGTAAAATAAACTTTACATACACAGAAAATTTGACTAAAGTAAAGTTTCCTTTTTGAATGACAAGTTAAAAAAGTGTGCTAAAGAATAAATATCTTATGATTAAAATGGTGAAGATTGTCAATAAATAGAATGACCCAATATCATTCTCACTGATAGCTAGCTCTTCTCAAACAAAGGTCTCTCTCTTCTCGGCAAAACGGCCAAAATCAACCCTAACTATTTTCATACGGTCTTTTTCAACTCAAACTCTGACCCCCTGTACTTATCAACCCGAACCTACATAAATTTCAAATAAAATAATAAACCTGAACTATATAATTGTTAGCCAATTTCAACATATACCTGTTATTATATAATGTAATAAATATGAATTATCTAACCTTTAGCCAATTGATAAAAGGAATGATTCATACACAAAAGAACAGATAATTACGACTTAGCAATTCTAATCGACATTAACAAATACAAAAAAAAAAAAATATGTTGAAATTGGCTAACAATTATAATAGTTCAGGTTTGTTATTTGAAATTTATGTGGGTTCGGGTTGATAAATACAGAGGATTAGAGTTGGGATTGGAAAAAGTCACATGAAAATAGTTTAGGTTGATTTTGGCCGTTTTCTCTTCTCTTCTCAGACACAATTATCCCTTTTTTTTTCCTCCATTCTATATTCACATTCTTTTGTCGACATTCTCTATTCACATAATACTAATTTTATGTGGTTTTGCCCTTGTTTGGTTATGATGCATCAACTATTTTATTTTTCTTAATGGTTAGCAACTTAGCATTTCTCCTTTATTTTTCTTAATGGTTTATTGGCTTAAAATTTTGTTAGTTGGACCATGTGGGAAGCATTTCTCTCACGTTTAAAAGGAATGTAACCGTTTTCAAGAATTATAACTCCTTTCATTGTCACAAAGAATATAAAGACTTTGTCTAGGTGAGGTTTTCACTTTCCCATTATATAAGAAATAATAACGATCTCCTATCACTATCCACAATCTCGTAAGTTACTCTCATTCATCAATTCTCATCGTATTCTCTTTACTCAGGTTACTATTTCTCACTTCTTTTTTGGTTTTACTCTCTCTTTCGAGTTTTCTTGAGTATTGATCGGCGAAAACGGCGTAATTTGATTATTTTGTGGTTCCTCTCTAAGTAGTGACTACTGCTAGATTTCAAGAACTTATAAACAACAAATTATTATTTTAATTTTGTATTCGTTTCTTAACAATAGCTTTAAGCTAGACTTTTTTCTTTCTCTAACGTCAAACTGATTAGTTTTTTAGGAAATTGCCGAAGAAAGAAATCATAGTGTAATACCTCATATATTGCTTTTGGAACATTAAGATGATATAGACTTCATCTTATTTTCTCTCTTGTGCTTTGTTTATTGGGTTTCAAGTTTCGACTTGTTTAACTTTATTGACTAAGATATTTGTCACAGACTAAAGAATATTATTATTAATTATAAAATATGTCCTATAATTTTCAGATTTAAAATATGCCCTATAATTTTCAGATTTCAGACTAAAGAATTTAATGTGCATGTCTTTATGTTATTGTACATGTTTCTCCTATACTTTTGTCAAAATCCAGATTTTTTTCTGATTAATTCCTCTCGTTAAGTATGTAACTATAATTCTATCAAAGACTAAAAAGGAGACCAATTGATATTGTCTTGAAAAAGTAATTCCGAAGTAATGGAACCTGCGAAATAATTAAGATTCGATAGAAAAGGTAATTATCTAGGTTAATAACGTTTTTTCACACTTGTGATAAGTAATAAAACATAGTTTGTGTAATTGTGTTGCATCCTCTTTCTCTGTTTTTCATATGAAGAAACCATTGGGTTCGTTGTTTCTTGGTTCTTAGTGTGTTTCTGAAAATAATGTTTCCATCTTTCAGGTTTTCTCTAAAATTAAGAGATAGAAAAAATGTCGGAAAAGGTGGGAGCGATGGGTGGTAACAATGGAGGAGCATTCGACGATGGTGTTTTTGATGGTGTGAAAAAAGTAATAGTTGGAAAGGACTTCAGGAAGGTAACTTATATCAAGATCGAATACGAAAAGGACGGAAGATTCGAAATTCGTGAACACGGGACGAATCATGGGGAACTAAAAGAGGTAATGAAAAAACCATGACTTTGTTATTATTGTCAAACCCTTAAAAGCTAATCATTTGTTTGTTTTTGATGGAAAATGTAATCCAGTTTTCAGTGGATTATCCGAATGAATATATCACAGCCGTTGGTGGAAGCTACGATACTGTTTTCGGTTATGGATCAGAATTGATCAAATCATTACTCTTCAAAACCTCTTATGGAAGAACCTCTCCGATACTTGGTCATACGACATTATTAGGGAATCCAGCTGGGAAAGAATTCATGCTCGAGAGCAAAAATGGAGGAAAGCTTCTTGGTTTCCATGGTCGTTCTGGTGAAGCTCTTGATGCCATTGGACCTCACTTCTTCGCTGTGAATTCTCCTCTCAAGCACTTTAAACTGCAGGGTGGGAACGGAGGGAGTGCTTGGGACGATGGTGCTTTTGATGGTGTTAGAAAAGTGCTTGTTGGACGAAATGGTAAGTTTGTGAGTTATGTGAGGTTTGAGTATGCGAAAGGCGAAAGAATGGTACCACATGCTCATGGGAAGAGACAAGAAGCTCCACAAGAGGTATCTTCATAGAAATATTTGTGTAGTTTCTTGTTTACTAAGATATTCTTATTATTGTTCTCTTTTGATATGAGAAACGTTTAAATTTGGTTGCAGTTTGTGGTGGATTATCCTAATGAACATATTACATCGGTCGAGGGAACAATAGATGGTTACCTTTCTTCGCTTACATTTAAGACATCAAAAGGAAGAGTCTCCCCTGCTTTAGGGAATGTGGTTGGTAATAAATTTGTGTTCAAAGAAACAGGTTTTAAACTTGTTGGGTTTTGTGGTCGGTCTGGTGATGCTATTGATGCTCTTGGTGCACATTTTGCCCCTCTTCCCGTTCCGGCTCCAGCTCCAGTTCCAGCTCCAGCTCCAGCTCCAGCTCCCGCTCCAGCTCCAGCTCCAGATCATGCTCCTGTTCCTGCTCCAGTTTCCAGTGTAACCACTGGCGGGACAGGATCTAACACTGGAGGAAGCGGATTGGACACGGGTTCTGGTGGACTCCAAAAGATGGAAACACAGGGAGGTGATGGAGGCAATCAATGGGACGATGGATCAGATCACGAAGGTGTGATGAAGATATATGTTGCAGCTGGTGGTCTAGGAATTGAGAACATCAAGTTCGATTATGTTAAGAACGGAGAGATAAAGGAAGGAACTTTCCACGGTGTTAAAGCTAGAGCTATCATTTCTACGGTTTGTGCTGCTGTTTTTCTTCTCTTAAATTCTTGTTTTACAATTTCTGATTTCAGACTACAACATTTCAATCTTGGTTTATTCTACAGATCGTGATAGGTCATCCCGAGGAATATCTCGTTTCTGTAGAGGGTTGGTATGACTCTTCTAATATCATTCAAGGAATCAAGTTTCAAACCAACAATACTACTTCTGATTTCATTGGATATGAATTTTCTGGAGATGGTACACAATTTTCACTTCAAGTTAAGGACAAGAAGATCATCGGTTTCCATGGTTTCGCCGACTCGCACCTTAATTCTCTTGGGGCTTATTTCGTTCAAGTCTCATCCTCTTCTTCCTCCCTGACTCCTCCTCCTAACAGAGTTGAAGCTCAAGGAGGAAATGGTGGAAAAACATTTGATGATGGTGCTTTCGATGATGTAAGAAAGGTTTATGTTGGTCAAGGCGATTCCGGGGTAGCTTATATCAAGTTCGAATACGAAAAAAATGGCAAAAGAGAAACATGCGAGCACGGAAAACAGACACTGTTAGGAACAGAGGAATTTGAGGTTGATTCGGATGACTACATCACATCAGTTGAATTTTACTATGAGAAAATCTTTGGCCTACCAACAGATATCATAACATCTCTTATCTTCAAAACATTCAAAAGCAAAACCTCTCAGCCTTTTGGAATGGTTTCCGGAAACAAATCTATACTCGAAGGAGGCAAAATCGTCGGGTTTCATGGACAAGCAAGCAATGTTCTCCATTCTCTAGGAGTATATATATATCCCTCGACGACATCTTCTACTCCCGTAACTCCTTCCTTTAAACTTCCAGCAAAAGGCGGAAACGGAGGAGTTTCTTGGGACGATGGTGTTCATGATAACGTGAGGAAGGTTTATGTAGGACAAGGTGATTCTGGTGTTGCTTTTGTCAAGTTTGAGTACTATAAAGGATCGGAATTGCTTGGCGGAGATGGTCACGGGAAAATGTCATTGCTCGGAACAGAGGAGGTAATTAATTACATAATTTTTTTTCTTGCTTCGAGTCAACGGACTCTACTCCTATAAGATCTAACTTATATATGACGAAAACTTTTTGGATAAGAGTAGTAATAGATATATTACCAATTTGGATTAGGATTTTAAATTCTAACATATGAAGGTACTGGTCGGATAATTATCTAAAGTATTGGAACTATCCAAAATGCATATATAGGCCTAGGTTTATATATTTCTTATGAATTGATAGTTGTTTTGGCAGTTTGTGATCCATCCAGATGATTACATAACATCTGTGAAAGTTTACTACGAGAAACTCTTTGGCTTGAAGGTAGAAATCATAACGGCTCTTATATTCAAGACATTCAAGGGTATAACCTCTCAGCCGTTTGGAATCACGTCAGGTGATTTCTTCTTGCTCGAAGGCGGAAAGATCACCGGTTTTCATGGGAGTTCGGGCGACGTTCTTCATTCCATTGGAGCTTACATGTCTCTTTCGTCTACTCCGATGTTGCGTGGAAAGTGGATCCAGGTACTTAGTACGTAGGACTCAATATTCGGTTATATGGATCGATTTCGTCCGCATGTATGTTCTTGGAATATTCAGTATGGACCTTAAAAAAAAAATTCTTCATTTTAATTTTGGTTTGCTTTGAAGAAAAAACCTGATTTAGAAATACAGATAATAATTAATGTTATTTGGTATGCTTGTCGTACACTAAGTTAGGTTATGGTTAGATTTTGCTACAAAACATTGGTACATATCGAATTAAAGATAAATTTTCAATTTGATTTTGGTTCCAAATTTTAGTTCGGGTCATATTTGTAGAACTAGTGCGTAAAAATAGTTTTAGTCCTTGTGAAAGTTATTATTGTGCTACTGGAATTTATATTATGAAATATGTGGTGACTATTATTGTTAGGTGGAGCAAAAATCAAATGAACCTGGACCAAGATGTTCTCATGCTATAGCCATGGTTGGAGAAAAAATGTATTCCTTTGGAGGAGAGCTAACGCCTAATTTCCACATCGATCAACATCTCTACGTCTTCGACTTCAAGACTCATAACACATGGTCACTTGCTCCTCCAAACGGTGATGTTCCGGACCTCCCTTGCTTAGGTGTTTGCATGGTAGCCATCGGCACTAAACTCTACGTCTTTGGTGGCCGGGATGGCCACCGTAATTACAACGGTTTCTACTCTTACGACACGGTTAAAAGCGAGTGGAAACTCATAACGCACGTCAATAAAGGACCTGCACCACGTAGCTTCCATGCGATGGCTGCTGATGCGGAAAATGTTTATGTCTTTGGTGGAGTAAGTACTACGGCACGTCTCAATACATTGCATGCTTATAACATCGTTAGTGAAAAGTGGATTGAGTTTACCAATCCAGGAGAGTCTTGCAAAGCGAGAGGAGGACCAGGGCTTGCAGTTGTTCAAGGAAAGATTTGGGTTGTTTACGGATTTTCTGGGGACGAAATGGATGATGTTCATTGCTATGATCCGGTTGAAAGTAAATGGACTAAAGTGGAAACAAGCGGCGAAAAGCCATGGGGGAGGAGCGTGTTTTCGATAGCGGTTGTTGGGAAATATATAATTATATCTGGAGGTGAGATTGATATGGACCCAAAGGCTCATTTGGGACCAGGGATATTGATCGGTGGAGCTTTCGTGTTGGACACGGAGAATTTGATGTGGGAGAAACTCGAGGAAGGTCATAGTCCGCGTGGATGGTGTGCGTCCACAACTGCGTCCATAGAGGGAAAGAAAGGTTTGTTGATGTATGGAGGGAAGTCTCCTACCAATGGTCGTTATGATGACATATTTTTCTATGGAGTAGACTCTGCTTAAGAACGGTCAGTGTTGGTGAGTTTGTGAGTCTTCGTAAGTGTGGTATGTTGCATCAAGGGAGGGATTTGGTTTGTAAGACTCAAAAAGTTATAATACTCTTCCTTGGTTTATCTACGTTTTGTGTGTTTTAGTTTTACTGAAATAGTAATTGAATCAATAAGTGTAGAACCGGGTTTTAAAAAATAAGTGTGTAATCAAGTAATGTTTGTTGTGGCATATAACGTATCACGTTACAAAAATAGATAAGAACATATTTATTGAAATATATAACTCGTTATTTCACAAAATATTACATTTATAGCGATTTGTAGTACGTGGTAACTATAGCTGTCGATATATAAAAATATGTAAAGTTAGGTAGACTACAATCAACTTATTTATTTGTGAAAAAAAATGTGCAGTTTTTTTCTAAGTGACAGTTTTGAATTATAGAATAACATAATGTCTACTCTAAATAACGCTTCAATTAATTTTTTTTTAAAAAGGTATATAATAATAAAAAAATTATTTACCTAAACATTTTTTTGTAAACTGATTTATCTAATTTACTCTTCCAATATGGTTATCTACCTAATTGATCAATCTGACTACAACTAAAATATTGATTAAGATTAAAATAATTGAGATTTATTTTTACTAAAAAGGATAGACTTTTTTTTTTTTGACATTTTTGGATCGACAAGGCCCGATTCATAGCCAATTCCTACCATACGGGATAACGTGACTTATTGGAGTCGAACTCCGGTAGGAAAGGCGAAACCAAGTGAACTTAACCACTTGACTAAAAATATATTGCCATATGGAAAGTTTGATTGGATATTTTGTCATATTTGTTTGGTATAACAAATTCATGGCGTTTTCTTTGTTGCACAACGTGGAATGCATTTCTCCTGCGTTTTATTACAAATGTAACCGTTTTCGATCATTACAACTCCTATCATTGTCACAAACAGTTACAATTTTTTTTTTAACTGAAAGAGTTAATTTTTATTTTATTTTTCAAAACAAAACAGTAAACTTATTTGAGAAAAAATTGTAAACGCCAGAAAATGTTTGTGACAAATTTTTTTTTTTTTTTTTTTTTGCAAATACTTGTTTTCATTCATTCAAATAAATCCAAGTACAAAGGAAAGGAAGGATTCAACGATCCCAAAGTTTAAAACATAACAAAGAAAGACATTCCCCAATGCCACAAAAGGATAGCTAAAGATCGACGTAGATTCCATGAGAGCTTTGAGGCAAAGGCTAAAGAGCGTTTTGACACATGTGAGATCACGGTTAGTCGAAGAATCTTCCACGAACAAATCGATGGATGACATGATAGTCACTGTCAAAAGACTAGGTGACGTTGATGAATAAATCGGAGCCGTGATTCTCGCCGGCACAAGAAGGTCTACTCGAAGTAGTACATCGGCTAGGATTTGGGTAACTACAACAATATAGTCAGGTGAAGCTTGCTTTGACACACAAAACAGAGGCTCGGGATCTCTCTTAAGATAATCTGAAATTACTTGCAAGAACATGATCCACATAAATAAGTTAATAACATTAACATAAATATATCCCCAAAAAAAGAGAAAAAAAAACTCATTCCAAAAATGGCTTAATAAATATCGCACCATTCGCTTCTATCAGAGATTCACAATCCACAACCTCCAAAGTAACTCTCATCCTCCTCACTGTACTCAGGTTACTCTTTGTTTCTCTGCTTTTTTTTCTTTTCTGAGTTTTCTTTAGTACTATTAAACAATAAAACGGCGAAGTTTGATTATATTATGTAATAAGATGTTTAGTAATTTTTTCTAACTAGTGATTTCAAAGTAACTTATATATGAAGAAAAATTAGTTTAGGACTTTCTTTTGATAAAAGGCTTCCAACCGTACTTCCATTGCTGTATATTTTTCTTAGCATGTGTAATTGTGTTTGATTTATTACACGCAGACACATTGACTAGTTTCATACATGGTCCAATTAAATCGGTTAGAGTATATATTATTGTCACATATGTATTGTTTCATTTTTTGTAGACAAATATTTTAATCTAAATCAAAATATGCATTCAATGGATTATTCTAAAAGGAAAAAGTAATAGTTTTTATAATTTCAGGAAAAGAAAAAAAAATCTGAAAGATGTCGACCGGAGTACCCCAAAAATTAGAAGCACAAGGAGGAAAAGAAGGCAAACAATGGGATGATGGAGCCGATCACGATGGTGTGGCTAAGATATATGTAGCAGCTGGTGGTCTTGGAATTGAGCAAATCAGATTCGATTATGTAAAGAACGGACAACCAAAGGAAGGATCTTTTCATGGTGTGAAGGGTAGAAGTACCATTTCTACGGTATGTTGTCTTCTATCTCTTCAACGCTAATATCAAATGTGTATTCGAGGAGTAGTAAAAATATATGTTTAACTAAAAGAACTTGAACCGAATGGAATCGGATCTAAATGTTAAAGGAAACCAAAGCCAATTTGTTTATAAGTTATTGCTTTTGTTAGTTAAACTCAGAAAGCTAAATTCGAAACTATTTCTGCGTATATATTAAAAGAAGATTTTATCACAGTACATAAATATAATATAAGTAGAATCATTCTTAATTTATAGTTTTAAACTAGATTGCATGGAATCAGAAACGGATACACGGAAGCGAAGCGTTTGGAAACGTGGAAGCGATTTTTTTAGAAATTTTAGGAAGTGGGTACGTGTTGGAAGCGTATATAGAAATTAATGTGTATATATATATACATATATAATAAAACATTAAGCATTATATAATATTAAAACATATAATTAACCACGTAAATCTAATACATAAATTTTAAATACTTCAACTACAAATAAAAACCAAATAGTTTATTTTTACAATTAATAAAAATAAAATAGTTCAAAGTCAAAATTTTAGATCACTATCTTCACTCTCATTTTCTTAATTCCATCCAATAAAATAGTTTCAAATTCTATTTTATCGATAACACATCATCCAATTCAAGTTTCTCAAAGTTTATTTAAGTCAATTATTCATTCCAACATTTTCCAAATAAATAATTTATGTCATGGTTATTTTGTTAAGCATGATCTTTTAAAAATAAAATAAAAAACTTAGTATGCAAAAATATAAATTTTAAATTAGTTTTGGTTTCTTTTAATTGTAAAAAATACTATAAAAAAATAATTTCATGTTTCTTATTAATATTTGACTATCAAATTTTTTAAATGGAAACGTAAGCTTCTAAAATGGAATCGTAAGCTTCCAACGAGCTTCCAAAGTAAATTTTTTGGAAACGCTATGGAAGCAAGATTCCAAAAGCTTCCAAAAGCTTCCGATTCCGACTAAGATTCCGAAACGGGAGGCGGACCTTCGACGAAGCTTCCGTGCTTCCTAGGTTTTAAAGTTGTTTTTACTATACCAGAATTAAATCATAACGAACCATTATTTGGTTTCAGTTTCAAGTAAAAGCCTTTGCTCCTTGATTGCCGTAGTTTTCAATAGAAATAGATCATTTTCTATGTTTTTTTGACAGCAGTAAAAAACTAGAAATAGATTAATTGAAAGATGATAACTAGTGAAATTCTAGGGTTAAAACTTAAAATTAGGAATTTTGGGAGTAGAGGACTACTTGAACTTCTATCTCTAACACATTTAACGGCAAGTTAAAGAGATGTCGTTTTAACAATTTTTTTAAAAGTTGGGTATTGATTTATTTAGGGAAAAAAACTAGTTTGATCCATAACTAAGGTCTAATTACTAGATTAACATATAAAAGGTATGGGTTAATCTAGTTATTTTTCTGACCGAAATACTCTTTGTCTCTTTGACAGAAAAAAAAAAAAGAAGTCAATAATACCCTCTTATTATTTCGAAACGTGTTTGATATTTTTGCCAAAAAACAAATCTGCCGTGAAAATTCTGTCGGCCTAGTTGTGACAGATTAATTTTCGACGACAGATTTAATGGTCTACGACAGATTTTTTACGGCAGTTTTTTTTTTCCGACAGATTTATTTGAATATTGTTACGACATATTTTAAAATTGTAACAGATTTTTTTCTTCGACAGACTTATTTGCTCTTGACGCCGCAGACTTCCGTAATTTTGACAGTTTTATTTCAGTGTATAGCAGATTTTTGTTTCTAGTGTCAGTAGACTAATATTTTTCAGAACAAATCTGTCATAAAGCAGCAGATTTGTTAAAGAAAAAATAATTGCTAGTTTGACTTTTTAGTGGTGACAGATTGTTTTTATGTTATGACAGATATTTAAATGTCAACATAAAATTTGCAGTGTTATAGCAGATTTGTTTTTTAAAAATAAAAATTGCTAGAATGACATATAGTCCCAACAACGTTATGACAGTTTTTTTTTATGTTATACCAGATTTTTAAAAAGTCTGGTGTTTCATAGCAGATTTTTTAAATTGAAATAAAATTATTGGAATGACCTATTTAGTGACAGCAGATTTATATTTGTTATGACAGACTTTTATTATATTATGACAGATTTTTAATATTTATTTGAAGTCGGAATTTATGTTGGAAATATCATGTGTGGCAGTTTTTTAAAAAATTTGAAATATAGCGACACCGCAGACATACTTGTAACGTGACAGACTTTTTAAAATTAACTGCCAAATCTGATTTAAAAAAATATTAATTACGATCATAACTTACCATATTTTTCTAGGGTTTTGTGGCATCAGTTACGGTTTCCTTTCTCCTCCATTCTCACCACGATGCCACAATCTTTTTCTACAGAAAAACGTTCATCTCTTTTAGGGTTCCTATTCAAGTAGATTTGTTAAAAATTTTCCATTTTTGGTTAATTCTCTTTACCTTTTCTTTCAATCCACGTTATATTATACGATTTGGAGTTCTATCAATAATGTTTCAAACCAGAGGGAGTGGATTGGATATGAATAAGGTGATCCTAGTATGTGGCAAATAGATTTTCGAGAAAAATATATGGTCGTTTGTCATTGATAACAATAGGGGATATCGCGTGATGGAAGTTAACCGTGAAACAAGTTACGATCAATGCATTCAAATGGTCTTTGAGGATTATGGGCTGCAAAACAGAGTCTGCGATGTTGTCTTGAGCTACGAGATTTCGAAGATGATGTCGCAGTCCTTACCTGGTGATACACCACCAGTTTTTATAAGTAATTCTAGACAGTTTCACACTTTTTTAGGGTTATTGAAGAGCAATACAATTCGTCTATGTGTGGAAGTGAAAAGGAAAAACTCGACTCACTCCAATGAAATCGACAATGAAGGTGTCACTGCCAACAAATTGCAGAGAAAACGAGGAAGAAACAAAAACATGATGGAAGAAGAAGAAGAAACTGATTTGTCTCATGAACTCGCAGCCCCGATTGAGGTAGACGAGAAAGATGAAGAAATTCGATTTGATTACTGCGACGATTCTGACGGAACAGACTCTGATGACGAGAATTTTAGCTTGTATGGGATTCCACCAGAAGAAAAGGAAAAACCTAATTTACCAATGAAGAAGAGGAGTCTAGGTACTTTCATTGAAGAACAAAAAGAAGAAGATCATTATGCAACATTAGAAATGTATGTTGTGGAATTGGTTGTTGGACAATGTTATGAAACGAAAGAGCATTTGGAGACACGATTGAAGATAATTACCGTGGTTCAAAAATTTGATTTTTTTGTTTATAAATCGACATCATTTATATTGGTTGTCAAGTGCTGGGTTCAAGGTTGTACGTGGAAGGTACGAGCTACACCAACAAACGACTATCCAAAGTTTCATGTCCGTAAGTATGTTTCGGAACATACATGTTTAGTTACAGACCGTTCTGCACGTGCTCGACAAGCAACGCATGATATACTTGGTGTGTTGTATAAGATTTTGTTGGTGGAGTTGGACCCACGGTATTGCCAATGCACGTTGCCGAAGCGATGAATAAAAGGTTTCACATAAAGGTACATTTTTGACTCATTGGAATAGATAATTTCTACTATTTGTGCACACAATCAATTATTTTTTATTTTCTGATAGATGGAGTATTGGAAGGCATATCGGACACTACGACACGCCCGTGAATTGGTGAGGGGGATTCCAGAGAGTAGATACGAGCAACTACCCACATACTTATACATGATACGTAGAGCAAATCCTGGAACCTTAACGCGACTTGAAGTTGATGCAACGCAAAGATTTAAGTATTTGTTCTAGCGTTTGGTGCAAGCATGCTTGGATTTTCTTACATGAGGAAAGTTGTTGTCGTTGATGGCACTTTTTTACAGGGAAAATACAAAGGGACACTTCTAACAGCAACGACTCAAGATGGCAATTTCCAGATTTTTCCAATAGCTTGTACGGGGAATATGTACATCCATATGTACAAGAACATATTGGTAAAGCAATATAGAAGGTGTATACAAAGTCGAATCGGGGAATATGTACATACCATATGTACAAGAACATATTGGTACGTTTTAAAGATCGGGATGCATTTGGTTTGGTAAAGAAGGCGGCAAATGCTTTTAGATTAGTCGATTTTCAAAGCACATTTGATCAAATTGAGGCGCTGAGTCCTGCTCTTCATAATTACCTGGAACGAGCTGATGTGCGACTGTGGACAAGTGTACATTTTCTGGGTGATAGGTACATACTTACAAGTAATATTGCATAATCAATGAATAACGTGATGTCACATGCGAGGAGTTTTCACATAGTACAACTGCTAGATGAAGTAAGGTCCATGATGACAAGATGGTTTTCAGAGCGAATGAATGATGCATTGAAATTGACCACAGCTCTGACACGTGGAGTAGAGAAAATTCTGCAGGTTCAATCTCTAAACATGTTCAACACTTGCAAGGCTATTCATGTATATTGTTCATAAATTGATATTTACCCATTGATTATTTTTACAGAGCCGTGTAGAGTACGCTAAGTTACTTACTGTACAAGCTATAGATGCACATCAGTTTCAAGTTACACATGGATCTTCTCTCCATGTTGTTAATTTGAAAGACAAAAAGTGTACGTGTCGCAGGTTTGACTTGGAGAAATTGCCATGTGTTCATGAAATTGCGGCGGGTGAAAACAGGAAAGTCTCTAGAATTTCAATGTGTCATCCTTATTATCACAAAAACTACTTGTGCAATTCCTATGCAAACGCCATCATGCCTAGGGATTTTGCTATACATGTTCCTGATCATGTGGCTACCAAGATATGTTTGCCCCCAGAAGCTCATCAACAACCAGGAAGGCCTAAAAAATCAAGAATTAAATCTGCATTGGAGATTGCTATGGAGAAGAAGAAGCCAAGAAAACTACACACTTGTGGGAAATGCAATCAAATAGGACATAATCGTAAGACATGTAATTCATATTTTCTTAAAGATTTCTTATGTTGGTTTGATTTGGTTCTTTCTGTTTCAACTCTATTATGTTCTTGGCAGCCTTTGTATTTCATTCAAGAGTAGACAGCTGATTATATTGTTTTCCTGTTTGCCATTCACTTAATGTGTGCTTCTAATTACGTTATGTTCTTTTTTTTTTGGTGTTTAAGGTCTACTACATAATATGTTATGAAAATTAAAGTCGATACATGAAATAAAATAAAAATTTCCAACCATAAGGTACTTAAACGTTGAAAAACCTAGTAGAATTAGGTCTGAGAAATAAAGAAATAAAATAGAACCTACAAATCCGAGATGACATGAAATAAAATAGAAGAAACTACTCAGAGTCTTCGAGATGAGGGATTGTGATTTCTTCACGACACATATCAAGCTCATACGGTCTGGCTGTCTCTCTCACTTCATCATATAGCTCCGCTGCAAGTTTAATACGTATCGCCTTCATGTTTTCATCGCAAAGCCCATCGAATGATGTCCCAAGAGCCAAACACTCGATGTATTTGATTGTGTAGATAGCACAATCGTCGGGATCTTTATTCACCGGTACTTTCTTTGTAATTCTTTTCACTTCCAGCCTTGCAGTACTCTTCTTACGTATCTCCTCAGGTACCATAGTACTCATCATGGCAGGGATCATTTCTCGCAAAAACATGCATTGTCTCGACATTTCAGGTTTAGTGGTCAAATGTGGGATGCTATCATAGATGTTAATCCTCTTCATAGGGAGGTCAATATCAAGAGCAACCCAATAATCCCCATTGACAAAGAGGCAAGCATAAAGATGATCAACATCGATGAACCATTTCTTGTGAGTAGCTGATTCAATTGGAGCTGTCCCGTTGAGGTGTTCCGCAAAGAAATCCCTGAACTTGAAGCACTTACGACCTCCTGAAAAGTGCTTGTAATCTTGAGCCAACTCCCTCAACATGTATTGGTCCAAGAAAGTTATTCGTTGATTAGGGTACGCTGAAGGCTCATGCATCAACCTTTTGCGGAACATAGCCATCGCAGCACCCATATGCTACATTAATAATTAAACCAGTTAGAATCAATAAAAATCTAAAACGATTAAACTGAAAAGGAAAAGAGATTTTCATAATCTTAGATGACTTACATAATCTTTCAACCATCCATATTTTTCATGTGGCCACTGTTCTCTTAGAGTCAAAATTTGCCAATAGAATCTCGTATCTCCATTACTAGTCTGAAGAAGATCGTCCCTGAAAATAAAAAAAAAAGAGTCATTAGAAAGACAAATTTACATTTTGATATTGGAAGATTAAATAATTGTCAAGTCTTACTCTTCATCTGCCTCGAGAAAATCAAACAGTTCATGAACTTTCGCGTTAGAAACAGGTTTAAGATGATCAGGTATCAAGGAAGAAGGTTCTCCATCCGTAATGATGCGCTTCACTGTAGAGTTACCAACATACGGGTACTTTTGAGAACCAACCAATTGTGGCACTCTTCTTCCCACAGTCATACCCTCATCTAGATTCTTTATTTTCTCTACCATTACTGTCAATGTTGCATTCATTACCGTATTAGCATGTTGTTGTCCAGGATCCGAGAATGTGTCTTCAGAACTTGAAACTATTTTCAGAGCATCATCTTGAACTTGGTCAGTAACATCTACGACATCGTCTTTTTGGATAATAGACTTCATCTTCATCTTATTCTCATCCATTGTAGCAGATTTGTTTGCAGCCTTTGAACCGTCATTCTTAGCCGCCTCATCTTTCACCGCAGCCTTTGCGCCACCAATCTTGGATGCCTTGAAACCCGAGTTCTTAGCAGCAACTTCTTTAAGCGCTGCCTTGGAGCCGCCTTTCTTGACAGCCTTTGTAACTTCTCCGGCTAGGGCAGGCTTTGAGCTACCTTTCACCACAGTCTTTGTAGCTTCTAATTTCAGCGCAGCCTTTTCATAATTTTTCCTCTCAGCCTTTGTACCATCTTTCTTTTCAAATAAGATAAGATCACCAGATATTTCACCTTCTTTCTTTTTCTTCTTTCTCACTGTATAGACTTTCTTCACCACTCTTTGAATAGGCAAACCATCATGTGAAGTAGGATTCTCCTCTACTACCCAAGACTGCAAAATTAAAATAAGTAATAGTGTCAATAATAGACATCTAAAATCAAACCAAATTTAGTAACATAGCCATCGCAGTACAACTAGAATTTGGATAGAGGAGGTGAAAGTATAACTTACTGGAGATTTACTAGTTGCCTCATCATCTTCATTGTTGTTTGAGATAGCAAATTCAGGTTTGGACTCTTTCATTTCCTTCACATCTACGTCACTAACTCTCTTAGTAACCAGGGATTCAAATTTGTTCTCCAAAGCATCCATTCTAGTCCTCATGTTCTTGTCTAGTTCTGAAATTGTCCCATTAATTGTTTCCAACATTTTCCAAATATCGAAGATGCTCTTCTTCTCTGCTGCATCGTCCTAAAATGAATTGCATATTCACAAATATTCATTACTAACATCAATATCAAAATAATTTAAAAGAAATTTGTGACCAATATACCTCCACATATTCTTTCGATGTCTTCTACTTCTTTTTTGGGATTTTTTCATCTTCCTCTGTAATATGGTCAGCCACTTTCATTTTTTTCTTCTGGCACTTGATACTACTCTCCACCTCAGCTTCAATGTATAATTTTCTTTTCTTCTTTGCCACATTCTTGTTTGCAACAGCAATAGAGCCCACACCATCCCAAGCATTCAAAGGTAACTGGTTAGTGATGATATCTTTAATCAGGTTGTCTAGTAATGGATCCTTATTCGCATCAGCATCAGCATTTCCCCATTTAGGGTACATGTTATCCTCTGAAACATGAATCATGTGCCTTACACGCATCTCCATTAAACAAGAAAAAAACGACAAACATGTTTAATCAATTTATTATGTACTAATCCATTTATATAACTGTTGTAACATGAAATAATAAAAGAAAAACTTCACACAATTGTGCCAATCTTGCAAAACAATTACACAGCAAAAATTGTTTTAACAAGAGATGTAAAAAAAAAAAGAAAAACTAACCTGACCATGCTTAGTCTTCTCCTTTATGAGGAATTCTTTTAACTTTATACCTTTCCGAGTTGACTGCCAATCGAGTAGTGGAACACCCGTCAATGTAGGTCTTCTCATCCCATAATCCTCTCCTATTCTGGGACACTCTCATACAACCAAATCAGCAAAGCATGAACGCATCCGTAAATAACATAGGACTCTTGGTCATATTTAACAAGCTTCACTAAGGTTACTAGACTATCAAAAGCCACTCGACCCCAAGGATATTTCTCAAAACCCACAGGATCAAGAACTCTTCTAGCACTAGACAAGGGGATTCTTGATTCGTGATGTATGCCATGTACTGCCACAGATAATAAGCACAACCTAGCAACCATCATTCTCTTTTCAAACACCCACGCCTTGCTAAAATCCATCACTTTTTGCAGCTCTGTAAACATAGGACCGTCAGAGGTTCCCACTTTCATTGCTTCCCAAAGCTCACTGTGATCAGCTTGGCAAATGTCTGACGGCTCAATAACACCACAATTAGGCCTGTTATACCCGCAAACTCATTTAAAGAGAATCGGATTGGTCTACCATCAATCAAAGACCAAATCTCATGCAAGTTGTTTACTCGCAGCTGATTTGTGAGGATAAAGTGAACCTTCTTTGCAGCCCATGTGTATTCCGCATCAGCAAGCTTTATAAATACACCAAGAGATGATTCCTTCAATTTGTCCCACACGTCCTGACCTAATCCTTCTCGAATGAGCCCAATTTTCGACAAATAACAGTTGTGGTTCATGCTATGGTGTTGCAAAATAGATTTTCCTTCGTCATAGAGGCGAGGAGGATATTTGAAGATGGTACTGGAGGATGCCATCCCTAAACATAGATAAATAAAATTAAGAGCTTTAGCAAAATAGAGGATCTAAGTAAATAGCAATTTGCATAAAGGCAAAAACATGAAAAAAAATCTGCAGCTACTTCAACAAAATCTATGGTCATGTAATTGGAAAAGGCGCTAAATAATTTAAAAAAAGAATCCGACGAAAATAGGTATACTCTTACCGGAAACTGGAAGAACACTATAGGTACTCAGATGACGGTGGTCGATCTGCAAAAAAAAAAAAAGGGTCAATCAAAATTGAAATCTAAATTGAAATCTAGATTGAAATCAAAATTGAATGGGAAAAGTTCTCACCGATATGGGTAATAAGACACTGTTGAATGAAGAAATCGAATTTGAAAGTCTGAAAATCCTCCGGTGAAAACAAGAGAAAACAATGACACCGAAGCCGAGTTTCTGTCACCGCGAGATAAGAGAAACAGTGATGAAGTAAGAAAGACCTGCAGCCTGCAGCCTCGCCGCCGTTTATGTGGCCGGAGATGCAGATCTGTCACCACCGGAGAAGAGAGAAAAGGGAGAGAAAGTCAGAAACGATTACTCACGGAGGCTAGCATATCGACACAAAATCAACACAGATGGAATACTCACCGTAGTTTGCAGGAGCGGCGGATTGAAGGAGAGATTGCTAGGGTTTCCACTCAAAATCGACAAAGGAGAAGAGAAACAAAGTCAAGTCTGTGAAAAGGGGAATAACAATTAAACCCTAAATTGAGTTGATGTTTGGTTTGGTTTTTTTTTCTTTAACGTCTGGATTTATTATTTATTGCAAATTATGAGAACTGTTACATAGACGATTCTACAACGGACAATTCCTTCCGACCTTTATTAGATCCACGACAGACGACACCTTCTTCACCTTCTTCTTCATACTCACCTCCTTCACCTCATTCTTTATGCTCTTGATGGACACTTCCCTCTCTGCGTAGAATCATGGCGAACGGCTATAATTGTACATCGCTGGAGATCTTCTGCACACTTGCCTCTAATAATCTGCAAATTTATTAATAAATCGCAGTATCTGGGACTCGAACCCCAGACCTCTGGGTGTAGAAGCATTAATTAACCCTTGTTCAACCAATGGGCCAAGGGGGCTTCCACAATTTGTTTGGTTTGGTTTTATGATTTTTTTAATTATTTTGTATTTTTTTCCTAATTCGTAAAAAGCAAATTTTTTTTTTTTTTTGGTCAAAGAAATTGTTGGAGAAATCTAGATTGATGTTAAATAGTCTTTTTACACAAAATTTGAGTTATTCTAGTTCTTCATTACCATTGAGAGTCAATCTAGTTATTTTTGCTAAGTTTTGAATCAATCTGGGTAAATTTTAGATTTGTTAATGTGAAATCTCAGTGTATTTTTTTGGCATTTTATCTAATAATAATATAAATCGAATCAGTTATCAATCTTTAACTCTATTTTAAAGTTTTTTTTCACTAGACTTATTCCAAACCGGACCATTCTTTTTGTTTCAGTTTAAACAAAACATTAAAACCTAATTAAAACCCTTAAACCGGTTGTCCATCCTGAATAGACTATTGACATTTTGTTTTTTACGAGCAATTTTGACAGATTGATATTAGCCATCCAGACGAGTATCTCGTTTCCGTCGACGGTTGGTACGACTCTTCCAATATCATTCAAGGAATTCAGTTTAAATCCAACAAAAACACACTTCTCAGTACTTTGGATACGAATTTTCTGGAGATGGTACACAATTTTCACTTCAAGTTAAGGACAAGAAGATCATTAGCTTTCATGGGTTAGCTGAGTCATCTCAATTCTCTTGGAGCTTATTTTGCACCCATCTCTTCCTCTTCCTCCTTGGCACCTCCCAACAAAGTGGAAGCTCAAGGAGGAAATGGTGGGGAAACATTCGACGATGGTGCTTTTGATCATGTAAGAAAGGTTTATGTTGGTCAAGGCGAGTCCGGTGTAGCTTTTGTCAAATTCGAATACGAAAAATACGGGAAAAGTGAGACACGAGAGCATGGTAAAATGACATTGTTAGGAACAGAGGAGTTTGAGGTTGATTCAGATGATTACATCACATCAGTTCAAGTTTCTGTCGACAAAGTCTTTGGTTATAAAAGCGAAATCGTCACTGCTCTTGTCTTCAAGACCTTTAAGGGTAAAAGCTCACCGCCTTTTGGAATGGTGACTGAGAAGATATTCGAGCTTAAAGACGGTGACGGAGGAAAACTTGCTGGATTCCATGGGAAAGCTAGTGATGTTCTGTATGCTCTTGGTGCTTATTTCGCTCCAACAACAACTTCGACTACTCCGTTGACACCTTCTACTGCTAAGAAGCTACAAGCAAGAGGTGGTAATGGAGGAGCTTCTTGGGATGATGGTGTTTTTGATGGCCTTAGAAAGATACTTGTAGGTCAAGGAAACGATGGAGTAGCTTTTGTCACGTTTGAGTACAACAAAGGCTCTCAAGCTATCATCGGTGATGTTCATGGGAAACAAACAGTACTTGGAACTGAAACGGTTCGATTCTTTTTTGATCTCTCTAATTTGTTTCTAGTTTCTCCCAAAAGTTGATTTCTTGACATAATTTTATCCTTCTTGATTTTGTAGTTTGAGCTTGATTATCCAAGTGAGTATATCACTTTGGTGGAAGGTTACTATGATAAAATCTTTGGAGTTGATGCTGAACTGGTGACGAGTCTAACGTTCAAGACTAACAAGAGAACGTCTCAGCCGTTTGGAATGATTGCTGGGGAGCATTTCGAGCTTAAGGAGGACCGTTACCAGATCGTTGGGTTCCACGGCAAAGCTGGTGATGTGGTTCATCAGATCGGAGTCCATGTCGTGCCCATTTTCACCAATTAGATGTGCTTTGTAGTTTCTTTTCTCTGATGATTCCTTTAAGTAAGGTCAATATATATGGACCATATATGCATGCTTATGGATTTGGGTGTGTGTTTTAGCGTCAATGCTTTATGCGCGCGAACATGTGATGTTCTGCCTTCATGAGTCTTGTCACTAGTTGATTTTAATAAAGGATGTTTCTTTTCGATCTCTTTTTAGATCTTTCTATCATAAATAGTGAAGTTTTTCTTGCGATGAATACTTTGGATGATAACCAATACTAAAAATCGCAACAAAGAAAGAAAATAACACATTTCATCATTTTGTTAACAAGTAATTCTTTTCAAAAGAAACATAACGTGTAAATCTGCTTCTTACATTCTATCATCCTATGTGTGGGGCTGTTTTTGGTGTCAATGCTTTTTGTGAGCATGTGATGTTCTGCCTTCATGGTGTCTTGTCACTTGTTGATTTTAATAAAGAATGTTTAAAGGTGAAAAACATCAAAGAAAAAGCTATGTTTGTAAAGTTTTCATAAAATATTTGCTTAAAACTCAAACGCCAATGGAAAAAAAAAAATGTTTTATTTGCGTTGGTGTATGTAAGTAACAGAAAAGATTTGTTGAAATGTTAAAAGTTGTTGGTAGATAGTTTTAAAAACTACACAATAAATATAAAAATGAACACACTATTAGGCCATGTTCGTTTCATAATCACAAGCTATTGCAACTGCGATTTTGAATTTGCGGGATGTTGTTCGTGACTAATCGGCATTGAAAAAGTTGCACCACTAATTTTTCATGCAATTAAAAAATTCAGTCGCAAGTCGCAGTGACTGATCGCAGGATCCTACTACTGTCAAACGAACAACTTTCAGTCGCAGCCGCAGCCGCAAGAGACATGTGACTGCCAAACGAACAACAATATAGAGATTTATAGAGATGACACCTTACCAGTGTCAATATTCGGGCAGAGCCGCCATGAGTACAAGCGGGCCAAATCCATGTTTGCGGCCATTAATACGATAAATAAAACTTCGGCCAAAATTTTACAAAAGATTCATCAGCGAATTAGGCATTCACTTACTTGAAGCTTGAAAGGGTACGGTTAAGAGTTGGAACCCTTCTTCCTTCATATCACTTGTCTTAAGTTTTTTTTTTTAACTCTCTAATATTGACCAAATTTTTGTTTTCTGCTTGTAACCCATTAAAACCCGGGCAGCTGTAACACCCCGGTTTTAAAAATATTGTAGTGCATGCGGAGAGGTTTAAAAGAATTGATTTGGCCACTTATGTCACCAAAGTACACTTATCTTTTTGGTCAAACATCCTAAGAAAACTTCATAGTTAAGCGTGCTTGAGCTGAAGCAATTTCAGGATGGATGACCTTCTGGGATGTGAACGTCAGAACCGTGCGAGTGAGGACAAAACACGGGAACAAATCATGTGGTAATTTGTATAGTCGGTAAACAAGTCTTTAAGCCTTCCGGATGTAGCGGACCGACTGTCGGACAAGGGTGGTGCTACGAGCCTGAGAGAGAATATAGGCGATTTTTAGGCCCCATATATAATATCATATTTATAATATTTAGGCGGTTTAAACTTACCACATACATAATATCATATTTATAATGTTTTATTTTATCCAGTGTCTAGCGCCTAAAATGTCTAATCGGAGGTGGGCGATTTTTAGGCGGTTTAAACATTTATAACATAAAACATTATAAATATGATATTATATATAAAATTATTTAAAATATCTATTTAAAACTAAAAATTATGAAATTATAAACAAAAGGTAGATAAAACATTTATTTATATTTATATTAAACAATATATGAATATTTATAACTATATATATAATTAAAACTTAATTGAGATTAAAAAAATACATTAAACAACATCTATGTAATTTTAGGCGGTCACGGCGGTCATCTAGACGTCGCATGAGAGCCTAGCGTCTAGTCGGACCTAAGAGACCGCCTAGACCGCTTTTTAGAACATTGTAGTTTATGTACTATTTTAGCTTTTAGGATTTTTTCATTTAATATAATGCATTAAGAGTTATTTAAATAGAATACATAATTTTTCTTATTAATCAAAAATTTATGATGTTTTTTAAAACTGTTCACTATGCGAATGGAAAAAAGGAACAATTTAGTTTTATCAATCTTAAGTATACATTAAAGAAAATATCATATGACCTAAAACAAGCTTCAATTAATGATAACGAAGAAGAAGAAATTTAAAAAGCAAATCAATTTTCGCAAAAAAAAAAAAAGCAAATCAATAATGTCACGATAAGAAAGTAAAAATATAGAATGAATGGTCGATGGCGTGTGAACGTGTAAAGATGAATGATTAAAATGGTGAAGATTGTCAATAAATAGAGGCTCCGAATGGTAACTGCGTTTTGCGGTACGGGAGAAGTGCAGTATTACAGTGCGGTACGGTTTAACTGCGGGACGTGCGGGAGAAATATATTTGCGGGACAAGTGCGGTTTGTATAAAATAAGCGGTACGAAATAATATGTGATTGGTGAAAAAAACTATTTGCGGGACAAGTGCGGTTTTATATATACATATATATTAATAATTAATTAATTTTTTGTGTTAATAAATAAACAATAACAGATATTTATAAACAATATAGATTGTAGTTAAATAATTTTAAAAGAAATATATTAATATAATTATAAATTAAACATTCAAATATATGTGTATATATGTATATATTAAATAAAAAAATTCATAATAAACAATATGATACAACAGAATAATGTTTGATTGGTGAAAAAACAAAAAGCAGTGCGGAAAATAAATTGTAGAATAATTTTAAAACAAATATATTAATATAATTATAACTTAAACATTCAAAAATATGTGTATATATATATTAAATAAATAAATTTAATAACAAACAATATGATACAACAAAAAAAATATTATCGAATATATTAATTTTTCTATAACATATCTGTATTATTATTTTTTGCATCATTTGTTTTATCATATGCCATTTTAATTGCATCCATCTCAATAAATTCATATTTTTCCTCGCGCATTAGTTTTAACTTTTATCAGTTTTTTATATCTTGTTTATATATTTTTCTATATTTCAAAAACCAAACTTACACTAAACCGTGCCACCATTTTGGTTACTTCCTTTTTTTTTGGGTCGGATGGTTACTTTCCTTTTTGTACTAACCATTTAGAAATTAATCAATGTTTCAGTTGTTAAAAAAAAAATTAAATAAAGAAATTTTCTTTTAACTGTTGCGGAATTTGTGGAACCGCTGGGAACAGACAGTTGGACAACAATACTGCGGTCCAAAGGTTAAAACCTTGTTTTGAAAACCGTGAACAGATGTTTCTTTTTTCTTCTAAAAAACCGCAGATTACCTACAAATTTATTGATTGGTAACATAAAACGTTTTTCAAAAAACACACTTGAAATCCGCACCTTTATATGTCACCATTCAGGGCCAGAATATCCAATATCATTCTCACTCACAGCTCTTCTCAAACATAAGGTCTCTCTCTTGTCTCTTCTCAGGCACAATCAGCCCTTTTTTCCTCCATTCTATATTCACATTCTTTTGTCGACATTCTCTATTCACATAATACTAATTTTATGTGGTTTTGCCCTTGTTTGGTTATGATGCATCGACTATTTTATTTTTCTTAATGGTTTAGTGGTTTAAAATTTAGGTGCCTATTGATTTTTTGTTATTTTTTGTTTGGTGTAACAAATTCATGGTTTATTGGCCTTTATATTTGTTAGTTGGACCATGTGGGAAGCATTTCTCTCACGTTTATAAGGAATGTAACCGTTTTCAAGAATTATAACTCCTATCATTGTCACGAAGAATATAAAGACTGTATCTAGGTGAGGTTTTCAATTTCACATTATATAAGAAATTATTACTATACTCTATTGCTATCCACAATCTCACAATTTACTCTCATTCCTCATCGGACTCTCTTTACTCAGGTTACTATTTCTCAGTTCTTTTTTTGGTTTTACTCTGTCTTTCTTTTCTAGTTTTCTTGACTGTTGATCGGCCAAAACGGCCTAGTTTGATTATTTTATGTTTTGTGTTTCCTCTCTAAGTAGTGACTACTGCTAGATTTCAAAGAACTTATAAACAAATTATTATTTAAACTGTTTTTTTCAATTTTGTATTCGTTTCTTAACAAATGCTTTAAGGTAGACTTTTTTCTTTTTCTAACTTCAAACTGATTAGTTTATTAGGAAATTGCCGAAGCAAAGAAATCATAGTGTAAGACATCATATATTGTTTTTGGAACATTAAAATAATATAGACTTCATTTTCCGGTTTTATTTTCTCTCTTGTGTGCTTTGTTTCTCTGGTTTCAAGTTTCAACTTGTTTAATTTTATTGACTAAGATATTTGTCACAGACTAAAGAATAATATTATTAATTTTAAATTATGTCCTATAATTTTAAAATTTTTAATGTCTCTATGTTATTGTACATGTTTCTCCTATATTTTTGTCAAAATCCAGATTTTTTTCAGATGATTTCATCTTGTTAAGTATGTAAATATAATTATGTCAAAGAATCAAAAGGAGAGCAATTGATATTGTCTTGAAAAAGTATTTCCTAAATAATGGAACCTGAGAAATATAATTTTCGATAGACCAAGTAATTATCTAGGGTATTAACGTTTTTGCACACTTGTGATAAGTAAAAAACAGATTTTGTGTTGCATCCTCTTACTCTATTTTATATATGAAGACAGAAACCATTGGGTTCTTAGTGTGTTTCAGAAAAAACGTTTCCATCTTTCAGGTTTTCTCTAAATTTAAAAGATAGAAACAATGTCGGAAAAGGTGGGAGCGATGGGTGGTAACAAGGGAGGAGCATTCGATGATGGTGTTTTTGATGGTGTGAAGAAAGTAATAGTTGGAAAAGACTTCAGCAAGGTAACTTATATCAAGATCGAATATGAAAAGGACGGAAAATTCGAAATTCGTGAACACGGGACTAATCGCGGAGAACTAAAAGAGGTAATGAAACAAACAAGACTTTGTTATTCGTCAATGGTTCTTATTCAACCCGTAAAAGCTAATAATTTGTTTGTTTTTGATGGAAAATGTAATCCAGTTTTCAGTGGATTATCCGAATGAATATATCACAGCCGTTGGTGGAAGCTACGATACTGTTTTCGGTTATGGATCAGAATTGATCAAATCATTACTCTTCAAAACCTCTTATGGAAGAACCTCTCCGATACTTGGTCATACGACATTACTAGGGAATCCAGCTGGGAAAGAATTCATGCTCGAGAGCAAAAATGGAGGAAAGCTTCTTGGTTTCCATGGACGTTCTGGTGAAGCTCTTGATGCTATTGGACCTCACTTCTTCGCTGTGAACTCTTCTCTTAAGCACTTTAAACTGCAAGGTGGGAATGGAGGGAGTGCTTGGGACGATGGCGCTTTCGATGGTGTTAGAAAAGTGGTCGTTGGACGAAATGGTAAGTTTGTGAGTTATGTCCGGTTTGAGTATGCGAAAGGCGAAAGAATGGTACCACATGCTCATGGGAAGAGACAAGAAGCTCCACAAGAGGTATCTTCATAGGAATTTTTGTTAATTTCGTGTGTGCTAAGATATTCTTATTATTATTCTCTTTTGATCAGAGAAAATTTTAAATTTGGTTGCAGTTTGTGGTGGATTATCCTAATGAACATATTACATCGGTCGAGGGAACAATCGATGGTTACCTTTCGTCTCTGAAGTTTAAGACATCAAAAGGAAGAGTCTCCCCTGCTTTTGGGAATGTGGTTGGTAATAAATTTGTGTTCGAAGAAACAGGTTTTAAACTTGTTGGGTTTTGTGGTCGGTCTGGTGATGCTATTGATGCTCTTGGTGCACATTTTGCCCCTCTTCCCGTTCCCGCTCCAGCTCCTGCTCCAGCTCCCGCTCCAGCTCCAGCTCCAGCTCCAGCTCCCGCTCCAGCTCCAGCTCCAGCTCCAGCTCCTCCCAACAAAGTGGAAGCTCAAGGAGGAAATGGTGGGGATACATTCGACGATGGTGCTTTCAATCATGTAAGAAAGGTTTATGTTGGTCAAGGTGATTCTGGTGTAGCTTATGTCAAATTCGAATACGAAAAAGATGGGAAAAGTGAGACACGAGAGCATGGAAAAATGACAGTGTTAGGAACAGAGGAGTTTGAAGTTGATCCTGATGATTACATCACATCAGTTCAAGTTTCTGTCGACAATGTCTTTGGTTTTAAGAGTGAAATCGTCACTTCTCTTGTCTTCAAGACCTTTAAGGGTAAAACCTCACAGCCTTTTGGAATGGTGACTGAGAAGAAATTTGAACTTAACGATAAGGGAGGAAAACTTGTTGGTTTCCATGGGAAAGCTAGTGATGTTCTTTATGCTCTTGGCGCTTATTTCGCTCCATCGACAACTTCAACTACTCCATCGGTGCCAACTTCGACTACTCCATCTACTCCTTCTACTGCTAAGAAGCTACAAGCAATAGGTGGTAATGGAGGAGCTTCTTGGGATGATGGTGTTTTTGATGGTGTTAGAAAGATACTTGTAGGTCAAGGAAACGATGGAGTAGCTTTTGTCACGTTTGAGTACAACAAAGGCTCTCAAGCTATCATCGGTGATGGGCATGGGAAACAAACAGCACTTGGAACTGAAACGGTTTGATTCTCTTTTGACCTCTCTAATATGTTTGATGTTTCTCCCAAATATTGATTTCTTGACATAATTTATTCTTCTTGATTTTATAGTTTGAGCTTGATTATCCAAGTGAATACATCACTTCGGTGGAAGGTTACTATGATAAAATCTTTGGAGTTGAAGCTGAAGTGGTGACGAGTCTAACGTTCAAGACTAACAAGAGAACGTCTCAGCCGTTTGGTTTGACTGCTGGTGAACATTTCGAGCTGAAGGAGGATGGTTACAAGATCGTTGGGTTCCATGGAAAAGCTGGTAATGTGGTTCATCAGATCGGAGTCCATGTCGTGCCCATTTTCACCAATTACAGAGTTACTATTTAGGTTATTTTCTCTGATGATACCGTAAATAAGGTCCATGGACCATTCATGCTTATGGATTTGGTGTGTGTGTGTGTTTCTTGGGCTTCTTATCTTCTTCCCTGTTTTAGTGTCAATACTTTATGCGATCATGTGATGATGTTCTGCCTCCATGGTATTGGTACCCAGTCACTTGTCGATTTTAATAAAGGATGTTTCTTTTCAATCTGTTTTTAGATCTTGTTTAATTTTGTGTGTATGTTTTTATATGTGAAAACCAAAAAAATTAATAATCCATGTTTTTCATAATAAAAGATAAAAAAAACATCTGAGCAACATGGTAAACGAGAAACTAAACCATAATATATGTGATCGAGATTAACAGTTTTTTCGCTTCAATTATTTTTCGCCATTACTAACATTGTTTCGCTATAAAATCATATATATGCGGTTAATAAAAAAATTGATATACCAACCCGATCACATTTTATTTGTTGCACATATTTTTTTTTGGTGGGTTGAGGGAACAATGTTCCCATGCTTTATTAAGAAAAAAATAAAAGAAATTACAATCTAACATGTCTCGGGCATGTAGACCCTCGAACATTTTCCAGCATAATCGAATTAACACAATTTGGAGTAGAAAAACCAAACGAATTATTTGTTGCAAATATTTTATTTTGTAATCTCGTCAAACATAGGTCCATGTTATTAAGTCGTATATTTAAATACATGCGACATACTTACTTTACTACACGTCTACCATATCCAAGAAAAACTCCCCTCTAGGTGTTGTAAACTCTTCCACATATTTTTAGCTCCAAAAATGGTCCATAACGATTATTGTTATTTTCCCCTAATTTTTCAAACTTCTTTTGCCATCCATCTAAGAAAATTTGTTAAAACGTTTTCTTTTTCTTGTGGGTAAGAAGCATGTTCTATATTTTTTGTAACCAAAAATGTTTTATATTGCCATGTGACAAAAAAGAGTAACTAACTTATCCCGAAAATGGCAATAAATTTGGAACCATTAGCCACCCTCAATTATTGCAACTCACTCTCCTCCTTCCATCCTCTACTCAGGTACTCATTCTCTGTTCTCTCTCTCATTTCGATTTTTCTTAGTATTTTATACATCCGCAAAAACTGCATAGTTTGGAGATTAAACAATTGAAAAAAAAAACAGAAATTTGGTGACTAGATTTCATTATATCAAAGACTATATAGAACTATTGAGTTGAAGTATCTAATAAACTTTCAAGCATTTATGAACAAATCATTCCGGCCTGTGGCTATATATATGTTGATATCAGTTATTTCCCCCCCAACAACTCATTTATTTATTTATGTTTCTCTTTTTTGCCATTTTTTTAACAAAATATTTAAGGCAGACGCTTTTTTTTGTCTGAATGTAAAATTTTAATTCAAACAAAAAAAACATTTTCATAATAAATGCATCTTCTTGAGATATTTAAGGTAGACACTTAATTCCTTTTACTTTCTAATTTCTTCGAATTAGTACTTAGTAAGTATGCTTTGTTTCTCTTATTCAGTAGCATCAAAGGAGCTTTCATTTGTTTTATCAAATCTATATATATATATATATATATATATATATATATATATATATATATTTTTTTTTTTTGATAAGCTATATATATATATTTTCATTTCCAAATCATCGTATGATCAAATTTGTTTTCCATTGTAAGTTGATCAATATATTATATTTTCATCATCATATCATCATCATAAGTCGAAAAGAAAAATAAATTATTATTTTCATTTTCATTGTAAAGAGTATTTTACGTTTTGTTAATATTTTCAAGATTATAAACTTCTTTTTGGAACAAAATATTTTTGTAATTATTTTCAGGAGATATCAAAGCCACGATGTCTTGGGACGACGGAAAGCACACGAAGGTGAAGAGAGTTCAGCTTACGTTTGATGACGTCATCAGATCTATCGAGGCAAAGAATCGAACACTGGAGGGAAAGAATCTAACACCGGAAGCGAAAAATCTAACACCGGAGGCAGAGAAACAAGCACCGGAAGCGAAGAATCTAACACTGGAGGCAAAGAAACAAACACCGGGGGCAAAGAAACAAACACCGGAAGCGAATCCAACACCAGTTCTAGTGCTCAGAAGTTGGAAGCACAAGGAGGCAAAGAAGGAAATCAATCGGACGACGGAGCCGATCATGATGGTGTTATGAAGATACATGTTGCAGCTGGTGGTCTAGGAATTGAGCAATGTAGATTCGATTATGTCAAGAACGGACAGTCAAAGGAAGGACCCTTCCACGGTGTCAAAGGAAGAGGTGGCAGTTCAACGGTGCGTAATTAAAATTTATTATTATGGCTCAATTTATTTTTTAATCAAGTGTTAATATGTTTTTGATTCTGCAGTTTGTGATCAATCATCCCGAAGAGTATCTTGTTTCCGTCGAGGGTTGGTACGACTCTTCCAATATAATTCAAGGAATTCAGTTTAAATCCAACAAACACACTTCTCAGTACTTTGGATATGTATATTCTGGAGATGGTAAACAATTTTCACTTCAAGTTAATGACAAGAAGATCATTGGTTTCCATGGTTTTGCCGAATCGCACCTTAATTCTCTTGGAGCTTATTTCGTTCCAATCTCATCCTCTTCTTCCTCCTTGACTCCTCCTCCCAACAAAGTTAAAGCTCAAGGAGGAAATTATGGAGAAACCTTTGATGATGGTGCTTTCGATCATGTAAGAAAGGTTTATGTTGGTCAAGGTGATTCTGGTGTAGCTTATGTCAAGTTCGATTATGAGAAAGACGGGAAAATAGAGACACGTGAGCATGGACAAATGACATTGTTAGCTACAGAGGAGTTTGAGGTTGATTTAGATGATTTCATAACATCAATGGAAGTCTATGTCGACAAAGTCTACGGCTATAAAAGCGAAATCGTCGTTGCTCTTACCTTCAAAACCTTTAAAGGCAAAACCTCACCGCGTTTTGGAGTAGAGACTGAGAATAAATATGAAGTCAAAGATGGTAAAGGAGGAAAACTTTCTGGTTTCCATGGAAAAGCTAGTGATATTCTTTATGCTCTTGGTGCTTATTTCACTCCAACAGCAAATTAGAGAGTTTTTGAGTTTCCTTCTCTCTTTATTACGTAAAATAAGTTTCATGCTTACGAATTTGTCACTCGAAGTTTGAATAATTAAGGTTTTCAGCTTTTACTATGTTTGGATGTAATTTATGCGATCACGTGATGTTTCTACTTCGATGGTGTGTTGTACTTACCGATATTAATAAAGGATGTTTGTTTTCAATCTTCTTTTTAGGTAGAAAAGTATATGTCAAAATCGTGAGAATAAAAATAGTACATGTCGTAATAATGCGGCAACCCGATAATTTATAAGCGAGTAAAGTTCTCCGAAAGAGAACAACGTTGAATCCGCTTCTTAAAATGGTAATACTAATACAGTAGCACCTTTTTCTTAAGGAGATAATAAACTAAAATGTAGCATGCAAATACAAAATTCAACATAATTATTCTTAAATTATAACTTGAAAGAAGTTGCATTTCAAGTAGGATATAATTCAATGATCATCCAAAAAGAATAAGCGCCGTAAATAATCTTTGGGGGCTTAAAGCCAGCTTTCTTAGCTAGATCTTCAAATTCCTCTTCGGTTCTCTCTTTCCCCCCAGACGTTATAGTCATCATTGTCAAATCTAAACACAATGAATTCTTGGTTGCAACATCGGTTTCTGATACTTCTCGCAGTAATATCATTTCAATTACAATGATTCTTCCAGTTTCCGGTAGTGCTTTCTTACACTTTTTTAGTATTTCCACACATTTTTCATCGTTCCAATCATGAAGTATCCACTGAATCATACAAAGTAAAACTAACATTGTTAGTATTGTTCGAAGTATCACCTCCTCAATTATGAATAGTCACTTCAAAAAAAAAAAATTGTTGCAAGTATTGAAACTGTTTGACTCTATTATAACAAAGATGGAATTCAAATTGATTTACCTTCATCAATATAGCTCGCCTCGTGGAATTTCATCAAACATATCACCACCAATGTGTTCCACGCCTGGAAAGAGTTGAATTAATCATCAAACACGTACTACTAGCTAGGTAGTCTATAGGTTTTAGATGGTCTAGGAAGTGATAAGACGATTCGATGAAGGCACAACCAATTTCTTTGTTTACTGACTAATCGATCAAAAATCAACTAAAACTAGTTTTGAGAAATAAAAAACAGTTACCATGAATTTGGGGAGCTTCTTTGACAATGTGAGGCAAGTCGAAGTTGACACCTTTGATATGCAGGTACTTGGAGAGGATTTGGGTAAGATTACTGCCTAAGCTTCCTCCTACATCTACCAAATCACTCAAACTTTCAAAACCATTGTAATTCTCTAGTATTTTCTTCATTACTATTGATGTATGACTCGTCATCGCCTCGTTGAATCTTTCCTTAGTATTTGCATTTTCCTTCATGTATTCAAAGACCAATGCCCCATTAGCTCCCTCATATATATGCCGATGCTCCACCTTCTTGTATTGCCTCCGTGAGGTAAGACCTTTTCATGCAAAGAAACTCGTATTAGTACGAATAATAGACATGTATATTGCAAACGAACACAAAAGAGAACATTTTCATATTTGGAACATGTTGTATCAGATATACCATACACCTCCCTTGGCTTTTGTGCTACGTATTTGAGTACAATTTGCTTTATAGCTGAACAGGTTATAGTTCGCAAAGAATCGAAAGTAAAACACTCTAGTTCAGTTGGTAAAGCAGCTAACATATTCCCATCATAGTCACGGATTCGGTTTCTATATATGTCATTTTGTTTTTTTTTATAAACACAAAACGACGTTGTTTTGCAGTTTAACAGAAATGTTCAGTTGACTTAACTCCGTTAAATTTGTTTGTTAATTATCTCAGCGACGTACCTTATTTGGCAAAGTCAACGAAAGTTAACAATTTAATTAAAAAGTTAGGGATTTAATTACTTTTCCCGTTTCACATTATAAAATTTTATTATTACTAACATGTATAGATTGGGCCAAGCCCATAACTACATTGGGTCAGATTTTATTACATTTAACGGGCCTATGTTAGCAAGATATCACCGAGTACGTTAGCACTCAGCAGCAACTTAGATTCTAAACTAAACAAAGCGTAATAATAAATAAACTGAGAAAAAGCCTCCGTCTTCTCTCTATTCATCAACCTCGGCCTCTCTTTCGTCGACGACTCAGTTTCCGATTTAGGGTTTCACAATCACCGCCATGTATCGCACGGCAGCTTCACGAGCCAGGGCTCTTAAGGTCCGTCCTTATTCCTTTTACCCCTTTTTCCTCTTATCGGAACGAATTTGGTCCGATTCAGTGATTTTTGCATAATACTAAGAAAATTTATAGATCTGGATTCAATTTTTTTCGCTTGATTATCGGCGATGATGATACTGTATTCACTCTCTAAGATTTTTTTTTTAAGTCAATTCATTTGGTTTAGATTATAGCTCATCTGATTTTCGATTTAGGAGAAATGATTAGTTATGTGATGTATTGTGATTGTGTTTATATAGGGAGTCCTTACTCGTAGTTTGAGACCAGCGCGTTATGCGAGTTCTAGTGCTGTTGCCGCGACGAGTTCGTCAACGCCGGGTTACTTGAGCTGGTTGAGTGGTGGGTCGGGTGCTTCGCTTACTTCATTGGATATGCCACTACAAGGTGTTTCTCTTCCTCCGCCGCTTGCTGACAAAGTCGAGCCGAGCAAACTTAAGATCACTACTCTTCCAAATGGTCTTAAGATAGCCTCAGAGACGTCTCCGGTAAAAAATATCTAATGTGAATGTGTGGTTTCTTCGGAAAAAAGTCTTATCGAAATGCATGATGTGAACTGAAGAAAGTTATGTTGGTGCAGAATCCGGCAGCTTCGATTGGTTTATATGTTGATTGTGGTTCTATTTATGAGGCGCCTTATTTCCATGGAGCTACACATTTGCTTGAAAGAATGGCTTTCAAGAGCACGTTAAACAGAACCCATTTTCGTCTTGTGAGGGAAATAGAGGCTATTGGAGGAAACACATCCGCTTCTGCGTCTCGAGAGCAAATGAGTTACACTATTGATGCTCTTAAGACCTATGTCCCTGAAATGGTCGAAGTTCTTATTGACAGTGTGAGAAATCCTGCTTTCTTGGACTGGGAAGTGAATGAAGAGGTAAATCATTTTTTCCTTTGTGCGCTATTCTGATAACTGTGTGAAAACTTTTATGTGACTTTTTGCCATGTGTCGTTGAATTATTCCGCAGCTACGGAAGATGAAGGTAGAGGTAGCGGAACTTGCAAAGAACCCTATGGGTTTCCTCTTGGAGGCCATTCATTCTGCTGGTTACTCTGGTGCATTGGCAAGTCCTCTGTACGCGCCGGAGTCTGCTTTAGATAAATTGAATGGGGAGCTCTTGGAAGATTTTATGACTGTAAGACTGCATCAGCTTTTGAGAACCATCTACGTCTCAGTGATTACAAATTACAATCGTTTACTTAAGTTAGTTATGTGTCTTTTTGACTCATTTGATCTGCGAATTTCAGGAGAATTTCACTGCTGCACGGATGGTACTGGCGGCAAGTGGAGTAGAGCATGAGGAACTTTTAAAAGTTGCTGAGCCATTAGTTTCTGACCTTCCTAATGTACCACGCCAAGTGGAGCCCAAATCTCAGTATGTTGGTGGAGATTTTCGCCAACATACTGGTGGAGAGGTAGGTATTCATGACAGATTTCCCATCACTGGACAAGTGTGTCTGAGATTTTAATGTCACATTTCTAATAGCGCTTTTGTTGTTCCATTATCAGGCTACACACTTTGCGGTTGCTTTTGAGGTGCCTGGCTGGAATAACGAGAAAGAAGCTGTCACCGCCACTGTTCTCCAGGTGTCTAAATTGAATGTTTACTTTTTTGTTTGCATTAACTTTCACTTGTTTCGATCAAATTCTTTTTACTATTGAAGATATAATATAATGTAAATCTAATTGCTATTAGATGCTTATGGGAGGAGGTGGCTCATTCTCTGCAGGAGGTCCTGGAAAAGGAATGCACTCGTGGCTCTGTAAGTCAAATCTTGTTTTTTTTCTTTTTTTTAGCTTATTCTAGTTTTGTTTATTGAACTAGTTCACGAACATACTCTGGCACTGTTAAGCAAACAGTATTAGTGATACAAGTTCCTATGTCTGGTTACAGATCGCCGTGTTCTAAATGAATATCAGGAAGTTCAGTCATGCACTGCATTCACTAGCATCTTTAACAACACCGGATTGTTTGGAATATATGGTTGCTCGGTAAGTTCAGCAATCCTAATGTTGCTTTCTATGTTTTTCTTTTCATCACTTATCCCCCTTTTTCCATTGATGAGATGTGTACTAAAGGAATACCAATTTTTGTGGGTTTTATAAGCTTAATATATTGGTTTTGTGGGTTAAAGCTTGGTCCAATTTGTGTTAGCTGATAATTTCATTGCCGGATATGTATTTTGGTAATATAATGATAAGGGATTTACATCTTTGAGTGCAGAGTCCTGAATTCGCTGCAAAAGCAATTGAATTAGCAGCTAAAGAACTGAAAGATGTTGCAGGAGGAAAAGGTTTGCAGTTGTGTTTCTTCCATTTTCACTTAATCTAACAAGTTGAAACCATTCTTTTATATCTATGAAACATTTTCCTTGTGTTCTTTATGTTGGACAGTTAACCAGGCGCATCTTGACCGTGCCAAGGCAGCCACAAAATCTGCAGTTCTGATGAATTTGGAATCTCGGGTATTTTTAACTCGCGGCACCCTCTACTTACATAAAACTGTTTTACTTAAATGTTGCCAATTTGTTTAACTCGATCCAAAACCATTATGTGTTATTAATGTGTTAAAACGGTTTTCCTCTGCCAGATGATTGCTGCAGAAGACATTGGTAGACAGATACTTACATACGGAGAGAGGTATGTATACGCAAAATTTAATTCGAAAACAAGTTCACTCGATCTCCATAGTTTCTTCCATTCCGACACATCATAAATGATTTGTGTTTTTACAAAATCTTGCAGGAAACCAGTTGACCAATTCTTGAAGACAGTAGACCAACTAACCTTGAAAGACATTGCAGACTTCACCAGCAAGGTTATTTCAAAGCCTTTGACAATGGGTGCCTTCGGAGATGGTAAACAAATTTCACTTTTTTAATATCAATCTTATTATGCTTTTTGCTTAAGAGTTAAAAAACACATATACACACACCAAGATCTAGTGTCTTAATACTGTGTATATTTTTTTGTTTTGGCAGTGTTGGCTGTTCCGAGCTACGACACCATAAGCAGCAAATTTCGTTGAAGCAAAACAAGCATTTTGCCAAATCAACAATATTTTGGGACTTGTAAAATAAAGATCATCTTTGGGAGAAGAAGAAGACCCAACCAATTTTAATTTTTTTTTTCAATTACAGTTTCGTATTTTTATTAAGTGGATTTTGTTTCCATCTACAGATAAAAATGGCGGACTTTTTCCTGTCTGTCTCTCTCCACTTCTCAAGAGTATTTGTATTCCAATAAATAATCTTTTACTACGTGTAATGCAAACAACTTCAGTGGTACAATTAGAACAGTCTGTCATTTTTAACGCAAGAGGTTCAATTTTTCATACTTACATATATGTTACCGGAGGATGTTGAGTGGACCATTAGCTAGCAGTTGAGATTGATCATGGAGAGACTTGCTGATATAAACGATGATTTTCGAGGGAATTGGCATTTCGAAGGAGCTATGCGCAGCTCGTGAAGTCTCGGCTTCTGAACGAGTGTCTGAAGAGATGAGTCTGTCAAGAAGTGGAGGAATACAGAGGCAGCAAAGCGAGAGCGGTTTAAGTGATAAAGCAGCTAGCAATGAGTTAAACTTGGATTTGGAGAACGGAAAGAGACCATGTTGTGTCTTCTGAAGATCGATCATGAAGCAAAGGAAGGCATATAACTAGGATGTAAATTGAAACTTAATAGATTAGGTCCTTAGGAATTGAAAAGGAAAAAAAAAAAAGAAAAGAAAAAGGAAATCAATGGTCACATATAAAAGAAATTGCAAAACTAAGATAATGTAAATCTATATATAATAGCAATCTAATAAATATCATTTGCACATCTGAACGGTTGCGTCTTTTTATCGCAATCTTTCGTTTAAATCGGTTATTTTTTACGGTTATGTCTTTTTATTGAATTTTTGTTGAATTATTTACGGTTATATTTGTTCAATTACAGTCGTATCTTTTCAGTTTACAGTTATATCTTTATAGTTGCATTTATTCATTTAAAGTTACGTCTTTCCATTATATAATTTCATTGCATTTTTTGTATAGTTAGTAATACTACAAAGTTTTTTTACATCAACCATTAGACAACATATCAAATTCGTTTTATTAACCAAAATAACAACCTCAATAAATGCATTTTGCACTTTTGAACGGTTGTGTCTCTTTAAAGTAACTTTCCGTTAAAATATTAACGGTTATTTTTTCGGATGTGTTTTTTATCGCAACTCTTCATTAAAATATTGACGGTTATTTTTCGGTTGTGTCTTTTTATTGCAACTTTCTATTAAAATATTCATTGTTACTTTATTCGTTTGTGTCTTTTTATCGCAGCTTTCCGTTAAAATATTGACGGTTATTTTTTCTCGGTTGTGTCTTTTTATCGCAGCTTTCCGTTAAAATGTTGACGGTTATTTTTTCCCTAAACCCTAAACCCTAAACCCTAAACCCTCGGTTGTTTATTTTTATTGCAACTCTTCGTTAAAATATTGACGGTTAATTTTTTAGTAGACGGTTATTTTTTCGGTTGTGTCTTTTTCTCGCAATTTTTCGTTAAAATATTAATGGTTACTTTTTTTGTTGACGGTCATTTTTTTGGTTGTGTTTTTTTCTCGCAACTTTCCGTTAAAATATTGACGGTTACTTTTTTCGTTTCTGTTGTTTATTATAACTTTTTGTTAAAATATTGACGATATTTTTTTCTCGATTGTGTCTTTTTTTGTCTGTTAAAATATTGACGTTTATTTTTTTCTCGATTGTGTCTTTTTATCGCATTTTTTTGCTAAAATATTGATAGTTATTTTTTCCCGGTTGTATCTTTTTATCGCAACTCTTCGTTAAAATATTGACGGTTACTTTTTTCGTTGACAGTTATTTTTTCGGTTGTGTCTTTTTATCGTAACTTTCCGTTAAAATATTGACGGTTATTTTTTTTGTTTGTGTCTTTCTATCGCAACTTTCCGTTAAAAGTTTGACGGTTATTTTTTCTCGATTGTGTATTTTTATCGCAACTCTTCGTTAAAATATTGAGGGTGCTTTTTTTTGTTGACGATTATTTTTTTGGTTGTGTCTTTTTATCGCAACTTTCCGTTAAAATATTAACATTACTTTTCTCGTTTGTGTCTTTTATCGCAACTTTTCGTTAAAATATTTACGGTTATTTTTGCTCGGTTGTATCTTTTTGTCCTAGCTCCTTGTTAAAATATTTACAGTTACAATTTTTCATTGATGGTTATTTTTTCGGTTGTGTATTTTTATCGTAACTTTCAGTTAAAATATTGAGGGTTTTTTTTTGTTTTTGTCTTTTTATCGTATCTTTCCGTTAAAATATCGACGGTTTCTTTTTCTCGGTTGTGTCTTTCTATCGCAACTTTTCGTTAAAATATTGACGGTTATTTTTCTCGGTTGTGTCGTTTTATTGCAACTTTTCGTTAAAATATTGGCGGTTATTTTTTTCCATTTGTGTTTTTTTATCGCAATTTTTCGTTTAAATATTGTCTGTTATTTTTTCTCGGTTGTGTCTTTTTATCGCAACTCTTCGTTAAAATATTTACGGTTACATTTTTCGTTGACAATTATTTTTTCTAATGTGTCCTTTTATCATAATTTTTGATAAAAATGTTGATATTTACATTTTTTGTTGTGTCTTTTTATCGCAACTTTTCGTTAAAATATTGACGGTTATTTTTTCTCGGTTGTGTTTTTTATCGCAACTTTTCGTGAAAATATCGACTGTTATTTTTTCTCGGTTATGTCTTTTTATCGCAACTCTTCGTTAAAATATTGACGGTTATTTTTTGTGTTGATGGTTATTTTTCTGGTTGTGTTTTTATATCTGTTTGGTTTTGACCGGCTAGAATTTTTCTCTCTATATTATAACTCTTCGTTAGTTATTTTGTCACTTATAAATAATTTTATATTCACAAAAAATGTTTCAAAAGTGTTTTTTAATCATAATTTTTTTTTTACATTTTTATTCATAAGTTTGTTTTAATATCTTTAGAAAATATTTACGATATAACTTTAAGACATAGTTAATTTTATATAATAATTCAAATATTTGAATATATTGTAATAATAATTTAATACATAAACGTAATAAAATATATTTGTTGAAAATGAGTTTCCCCGCGATATCGCGGGGTTCATAACCTAGTTCTGATAATATTACAGTAATGTAAAAATATAAGGACAAAAAATTGTAAACTTCTTAAAAAGGAAAAGTACTAAAAATGGTAACAAAAAAAAAAAAGGAAAGATTGTTTTGATCAAAGCTATATATAAACTGGTAATAAAGGTTTTATTTCTCAATCTCACTATTATAGTAAGGATGGCTCAAGAGCTCGATTTGGAATTGGGTTTGGCTCCACATGAACCATGGATTGTAAAGAAGAAAATAACCGAGACTGATCTTCGTTATGGCGGTTCGGTTATTCTACCGAAACAAGAGTTTGAAACTTTTATAATACCGCAGATGGAACGTGGTTTGGTCGAGAATTTGGGAAACGGTGTTGAAGTGAAAGTCCATATTGTAGAGGAAGGTCATGAATCTAATGATTACACACTAACGCTGGTCAAGTGCAATGGGAGTTATATGTTGAGTGGAGGATGGCACAATATGGCTAAAGCTAACGGTTACAAACCAAACGATGAAATTGGACTTATGTGGGATAAGTGATCTGGAAGATTCTTAGTCTACCATATTAACTTGTCTTGGTTTTCTCTTTATCAAATTTCAAGGAGCTGTAGATATTTATTTAATGGATTTAAATTTTAAGTACAGTACTTTGATGTGGTTTTAATTTTGAGAAATTGTTAAAAATGCCCCTTTTTCAATACCCCTTTTCAAAAATGCCCCCTTTGAGAGTCCATTTTTAAGTTTGCCCTCTTTTAATTTTTAATGACTATTTTACCCTTATTTGAAACAAAATTAGGTCCACAAAATACAAAATATTTTTTGGCGGGAAAAGTGATCCCGCAATTTTCCCGCCAAAACACTTGTAAAAACCTTTAAAAAACCTTGTAAAATTTTCCCGTAAAAATTTTTCCCGCCAAAAAAATTTTTTTGCGGGAAAAGTGATTCCGCAATTTTTTTTGCGAAATTTTTTTGGCGGGAAAATTTTTGGCGGGAAAAATTTACAAGGTATTTACAAGTGTTTTGTAAGGTTTTACAATGTATTTTAAAAGATTTTACAAGGTACTTTTAAGGTTTTATAAGGTATTTATAACTTGTAAAACCTTATAAAAAACTTGTAAAACCTTATAACTTGTAAAAACCTTATAAAATAGCTTGTAAAATCTTATAATATCTTATAAATACCTTGTAAATACGTTGTAAAACCTTTTAAAATACATTGTAAAACCTTATAAATACCTTGTAAAAAACCTTTAAAATACCTTGTAAATTTTTGGCGGGAAAATTTTTCCCGCCAAAAATTTAACGCCTAAAAAATTGCGGAATCACTTTTCCCGCAAAAAAAATTTTTTGGCGGGAAAAAATTTTACCGGAAAATTTTAAAAGGTATTTTAAAGGTTTTACAAATTTTTACAAGTGTTTTGGCAGGAAAAAATTGGGGATCACTTTTCCCGCCAAAAAATATTTTGTATTTTGTGGACCTAATTTTGTTATATTTCCTTATATATTTATGATATCTTTTATTAAAAGAAGGGTAATTTAGTCATTTTGTACATAAAAGGGGTATTTTTAAAAATGGACATCCATTGGGGGCATTTTTGAAAAGGGGTATTGAAAAAGGGGCATTTTTGTGAGTCTCCCTTTAATTTTATGAATCTTTACAAAAAAATTATATATTTTTCTTTCTTTTTCTATATTCAATTCATCATAACTATTCGAAATTTTTGTTACAAAAAAAACTTATAGCAATTTCACCTAAAAAACTTTGCAAAACTTATTGGAAGGGAAATGACGTAAATAACTACCCATTTATTTGGAGAATTTACCAATTATATATTTTATATAAAAATATACAGAGAAATCAAAATAATGAGTGCAATGAAGAAAAAATCTTTATCAAATGTTAGATTATTGAAATTTATCCAAAATAATAATGATATTCCTTGCTATAAATATACTCAAGTGAATAGGATTTCTAAACAGTCTAAGTGCGCGTTTGTTTCTTGAAATCTTGAAGTCGTTTTTTGTTTTTTTTTTTTTATTTGTTGAGAAAAATCTTCAAGTCGTTTACGCTTCGAAAAGGAATTGCTTCTTGCTCATTTGGTAACTATACGATCATCTTATTCTTCTTCCTCCGTTGGAACTTGTTTATTGGAAGAGATGTTTTCAGTAGAAGACATTGGTAGTATAACTAGAAGAGATGATCGTATAAATTATTGGAAGGAAAATGACTTATATAATTATTATGTTACTTTAAATTTGTTTAACTTGACTCGAACCATTAGATGTTATTAACGCGTAAAACAGTTGTCATGTGGCTTGCAGCAGAAGACATTGGCAGAGAAATACTTACATACATGTCAAATAGCTTAGAGTAGTGTAAATCTTATTGCTTAGGTTTGAAGTTACAATGGTTTGCCTTATATAGTGGCCATGAGAACAAGTATATGACTCGACCTAATCGTAAGATAAACCGTCATTGAAACATAGAGAAAGGCCAAAGCCCATATAGCCCAATACCCCCCCCCTCAAGGTGGAGTGTGAAGGTTACAAACACCCAACTTGACCAAAAAATCTTCAAATTCTTGACGCCCTAACGCCTTTGTCATAATGTCTGCAAGTTGACTCTTTGTGTTGACGTGTTTAGTCGCTATAACACCACGAATGATCTCATCGCGTACAAAATGCACATCACGAGCAACATGCTTTGTTCGAGCATGGAACACGGGATTAGCAGCAAGCATTATTGCGGATAAACTGTCGGAGTGAAGAGTGATTGGTGTAGTAACCTTAATGCCGAGCGATGGCAGCAACTCACGAAGCCATAGTAGTTCTTGCACCGTATCCGCCATTGCACGATATTCAGCTTCGGCCGAAGAACGAGATACAACATCATGCTTACGTGTTTTCCAAGATAATGGTGATTCACCGAATTGTATGAACCAACCAGTAAGAGACCGGGAGGTTAGAGGACAAGCACCATGATCCGAATCACACCAAGCAGTTAAAGTCAATGGTGTATTAGCACGAAGTAAAATACCTTGACCAGGGCTGTTCTTTAAGTATCGTACGACACGAAGAGCAGCATTCCAATGAGAGTTTTGAGGAGTATTCATGAATTGCGACAAAATATGGATAGCATAAGACAGCTCGGGTCGCGTATTACCTAAGTAAATGAGACGACCAACGAGACGACGATAACGTGTAGGATCCGAGAAGTCACCGTCCTTGGCAAGAGAGAGCTTGTGATTTTGCTCTAAGGGAAACGTAATCGGCTTCACACCCATCAGACCCGTTTCCGTAATAATGTCAAGTGCGTACTTACGTTGACACAAATAAATCCCGGCAGGACTGCGAGCAACCTCAATGCCCAAAAAATATCGAAGAATGCCCAAGTTTTTCATGCGAAAACACGAACTCAAGTAGTGTTTAAACTCATTGACGAGATGAATGGAGCTTCCCGTGATGATAAGATCGTCGACATAAACCAAAACATGAAGTCGAGAAGCAGCATTTTCAAACGTGAATAGGGAATAATCGGAATAATCTTGCTTGAAACCATAATCTTTCAAAGCGGAGCCAAGCTTCGCAAACCAACAACGAGGTGCTTGTTTCAATCCGTATAGCGATTTTCGAAGACGACAGACTTTTGTATTATCATCCGTACGAAATCCAGGAGGAAATTTCATGTAAACTTCCTCTTCAAGATCACCATGGAGAAACGCATTATAAACGTCCATTTGATGAACTTCCCAATCCAAAGAAGCGGCCTGTTGAAGAAATGCTCTAACAGTGATCATTTTTGCAACGGGAGCGAAAGTCTCAGAGTAGTCAATACCTTCTTTTTGATTATTTCCAAGAACAACAAGCCGAGCTTTATGTCTTTCAAGGGAACCGTCTGCATTGTATTTTAGACGAAATACCCACTTACATCCGATAGGTTTCTTATCAGGTGGAAGATCCTCAACTGTCCATGTTCCATTGTCTTCTAAAGCCTCTATTTCATCTTTAACTGCAAGCCTCCAGTTTTCGTCACGTATAGCCTCGTTGTAGTGTTGAGGCTCATGACCAGAGGTTATAGCCAACAAATAAGCTTGGTATTTGTCGGAGAATTGTGAGCTGGAGACAAAATTGTCAATGGGATATGGTGTAGCAGAAGGCATAGGCGTGTAGATTAGGGAAGTGACATAATCTGCAAGCCGTACGGGTGGAGTTTTCTTCCTATATCCAAATCCAAGTTTTTCAGGTTCTGGTTCTGTGTCTTCATCAGTTGAAATCGAAGAAGAAACAGTTCCGTCACTTTGAGAAATCGTGTTTTGAGGTGATTCATTTCTGTTGGCAGTAGGAGCAGAAGAAGAATCTTTGTTTTGAGCAGGACCTGTTACGACGTCACTGTCTTTTTCTGCAGGCTGAGAATCCAAAGAAACAGAGTCTTGCTCTGTTTGAGATGAAGTCACTGTTAAATCTGCAGGTTGAGACGCGGATGGAGATGAAGATGACATTGATGGCGTTGGTTGAATGCTGATCGGGACAACGGAAGGTTCGTGTGATGAGACATTGAACTGGTCTTGATCAGTCACAAATTCAATGTCATCAAAACTGTGAGACTGTTGCGACGTGGAAAGCAAACGTGGTGAAGAAGATGCTTCAACAGCAAATGGAAACTCTGATTCTCGAAACACGACGTCACGAGAAACTGACACTGTTCCGGTTTCGAGATTGTAGACACGCCATCCCTTTTTACCAAATGGATATCCAATGAAAATCGATTTTGTGCTTCTTGTTGCAAATTTATCACCTCGATGTTTTTGGTTATGAACATAGCATAAACTACCAAATACTCGCAGATGATTCATTGGCGGTGGTCGGTTGTAGATGAGCTCAAATGGAGTTTTCCCATCAAGAATTTGTGTAGGGGTTCGATTTATGAGATATCCAGCTGTTAGTGCACAATAGCTCCAAAACTCAGCGGGAAGATTAGCTTGAAAGAGTAAAGCTCTAGCAACATTAAGAATGTGACGATGTTTCCTTTCAACGCGGCCGTTTTGCTGCGGAGTTCCAACACAAGAAGTCTCATGAATAATCCCTTTTTCAGCAAAGAAATCGCGCAAACATATGAATTCGGATCCGTTATCACTGCGTATAGTCTTTACTTGAGTCGAAAATTGACGTTCAACAAGAGCTAAGAAATTTTTGAGATGTGTTGGAGCTTCTTGTTTTGATGGCAACAAGTAAATCCAAACTGCTCTTGAATAATCATCAAGTATGGTGAGAAAATATCGAGATCCGCAGATAGAAGTAGTACGATACGGACCCCAAAGGTCGCAGTGAATCAATTCAAAAGCAACACTCGTCTTATTATAACTTAAAGGAAAAGACTCTCGTGTTTGTTTTGCACGAATACAAACGTCACACGCCTTTGAATCAAACTTAGTACTAAAATCCAAAAACTTCAACATATTCAAAGCTTTAGAAGAGGGATGACCCAAGCGAGAATGCCACACTTCAAGAGAAGATGAATCCACATGATGAGCAGCTGCTGCTACTTCCACTCCTCTAAAAAAATAAAGTCCATTTTGTTGCTCACCCGCGCCAATCAGGATCTTGGTGATGCGATCCTGAACAATACAAAGCCTATCAGTAATCTGAAACACACAACCCCGTTCTCTAGTCAACTGCGAAACTGATATAAGATGGCACTTCAAACCATCGACGAAAAACACGTTCTGGAGACACAAGGACGAACCAAGTGATACACGGCCCATTTTTGTAGCTGTAGTTAATCGTCCATCAGGCAACTTAATAAGAACAGGTGCCATTTCCCGAATATCCAACAAAAAATTGAGAGTCCCTGTCATATGATTAGAAGCCCCTGTATCAATGATCCAAGATTCGATAAAGAACATACCCGATTGATGATCAGTGGAACGAGATTTTCTTTCTTCAAGAATGTTAACCAAAGTATTCCATTGATCGTTGCTCAAGCCACTTATTCCGACACGATCAGCAGGGGTTAACGAGAGAGGCTGTGAATTGCTGGTGGAGAGTCCGAAATTTGTTGGGACATTGTTCACGTGAGCTGAATTTAAATTCTTTCCAGTCATAGAGCCAACGGATGTCGTCGTAGTTCCACGGCCAGCTCCTCCTTTTCCCGAATTGTTGCCTGATTTATTTCGAAAATTAGAATTTGGTTTAGAGTTCTCTCCCCACCATTCAGGATATCCGATTTTGCGAAAGCAATTATCGGCAATGTGACCGGTACGTCCGCAGATACTACACACGGCTCGGTTGTCATATGGCTTGCGAGGAGGATTTGTTTGAACAGCAAAACTAACTCCATCAATTCGCCCATCGTTGTCTCTGCTCAGATGTTTCGCTTCCTCGTCTAGGGTCAAGGCATTGTAAGCTTCTTCGAGGCTGGGAAGAGGAACCCGAGACAGCAAATTTGATTTCACGGCGCCGTAGAGAGAATCATCAAGACCCATGAGGAATTGGTGTAGTTTATCTTCCTCACGTTCTTTTCTCACTTCTTCCATCGTCTTGGCTCTTTGGTAGTCAGCCAAGCTTCCCCATAATTGTGTGAGTTTGCCATAGTATGCTTCGATAGCAAGTCCTTTCTGTCGACAATTTGCTAACTCTGTTTTGAGGCGCTGAACGCGTTGCCCGTTCTTTACACCAAAACGTTTCTGGACATGCACCCACAGCTCATTAGAATCGTTGATATGGGACAGGGACGAGGAGAGAGCTTCATCGATTGTAAGTCGAATCCAAGAGACCACAAGCGCGTTGTTTGCAGTCCAATCTTCAAAGTCAGGATCATCTTCTGGCGGCTGTGGAATGGTGCCATCCACGAAACCAAATTTTTTCCTTGCTTTAAGAGCTAAACACAAGTTGTTTGCCCATTGGTCATAATTTGGACCTCGCAACAGAGGTTTAGAGATCAAAGTACCCGGATTGTCACTGGAAGTCAGATCGTACGGCGAAATTGTACGCCGTGTCTTGATACGAGGCTGCGCCACCACTTCTGTCAAAGCTGATGAGGTAGATGACGAAGAAGAGGATGCCGTAGCCATCGTGTTAGGAAGAATTCCAACGAAAACAGAGTCGTTGAAAGCTAGGTCAAGAGATCGAAGTTTTTAGAATGAAAACAGAGTATTATTTTGCGGAATTTAGATCACAAGATCGAGCAACAACCTCTTTGTAGTTAGGTTAATGCTCTGATACCATGTCAAATAGCTTAGAGTAGTGTAAATCTTATTGCTTAGGTTTGAAGTTACAATGGTTTGCCTTATATAGTGGCCATGAGAACAAGTATATGACTCGACCTAATCGTAAGATAAACCGTCATTGAAACATAGAGAAAGGCCAAAGCCCATATAGCCCAATAATACAGAGAAAGGTAAAATTTCATTCGTAAACCAGAAAAAGTTCACTATATATATCTTCATAGTTTCTTCAATTCCAACACATTGTGATTTGTGTTCTTACAAAATCTTGCAGGAAACCAGTTGACAATAGAGTTTAAACAAAAAAAAAAAAATGTTTGATCATCTACAACTTCAACACTTTGAAGTTATAACGTATAGACTTTAGTTTATGTGTTTAGAAAGTGTAATTTTTGGGATAATTGAAAACTTTGAACGATGAATAACTTAAAATGTAAATTAAAAAGAATAGAAATTGTAAAGAAAAAAAAAACGAAATCAATGCATTTTTGTCTTAATTAAAATGTAAAACTTCCACAAGAACTATACAAAGCAATTTTGGACGAGAAAGAAGAATAATTTAATATGTAAATTACTTACAAGATTAGGAATTGTAAAGAAAAAAAAATGTTTCCATGATCACATATAAACGAAATTGTAAAAATAAGAAAATGTAAACTCTAATAATAATATTACAGTAATATTCCAGTAATGTAAAAATATAACAAATTTGTTTTTGTAAACTTTGAGCAAAATGTTTAAAACACATGTAGGATGACAAAAATGTAAACTTCATAAAAGGAAAAGTACTAAAAAAATCGTAGCAATAGAAAAAAAGGAAAGATTATTTTGATCGGAAGACTCTATATATAAATAAACATAGGTAAGAAAGCTTTATTTCTCAATCTCACTAATATCATTAACATAAGTAAAAAATATTCATATAGTTTAGTAACGATGGCTCAAGAACTCGATTTGGAATTGGGTTTAGCTCCATATGATCCATGGGTTCTAAAGAAGAATCTAACCGAGAGTGATCTTAGTCGTTATGGTTTTGTTATTCTACCGAAACAAGATTTTGAAAAAATAATTCCGCATATGGAACGTGGTTTGGTCGAGAATTTGGGAAACGGTGTTGAAGTGAAAGTCCATATTGTAGAGGAAGGTCATGAATCTGATGATTACACATTAACACTGATCAAGTGCAGCGGCAGGTATATGTTGAGAGGAGGATGGTACAATATGGTTAAAGCTAAAGGTTACAAAACAAACGATGAAATTGGACTTACGTGGGATAAGTGGACTCGAAGATTCCTCCTCCACCATATTAACTAATCTTGTCTTATTTTTCTCTTTTCAACTATCATAGAGATATTTATTTAGAGGTTTTAAATTTTAATTACAGTACTTTTTTATGTGGGTTTTATGAATCTTTACAATAATAAATAAAAAGTTATTTTATATCTTTTTACGTTCTATTCATCATAATTATTCGAAAAATTTGTAAAAGGAATAAAAAAAACAACCAATCTATAGCAATTTCACCTTAAAAACATTGCAAAATTTATGATGTGAACTAAATCTCAATTTCTTTTGATAGAGCTAAAAGAGAGAAAAAAAAAAATCCAACATGTTATAATGAACTAAATCTCGAACAAAAATCTAAGCTAACAACCTTAAATCGTAGTTACAAAACAAAACACAATCATTTTTTATTTGATGTAACGATTTAGTTTTAAAAGAAATAAAAATCTTTAAAGATTGAAATCATTATCATAGATCATTTATCTAAATTTCGCTTTGAAGATCGTGTTCATATAACACTTTTGAAAAATTATTTCCAAAGGACTTGTTTATAAAAAATCGTTTTTTAAACAAAGCTTAAAGATCACCAATTCGAGTAACATTTAGAAGGAAACCATATAAATTCTTAGGGATTGACCGACCTAGACCTACAACCTCTTAATTATTAAAAAAAAAAAACAAATCGTCCTCTAAATCTTACAAACAAAAAAATTAAGTCATGCCCTTACAAAATCCACATAAAGATGAAAACTAGAAAATATTAAGGCCCATTTAACGCTCTAATCAATTTCAAGGCCCATTTAAACGAAAAGATTCATCTCTTTACCTCTGAGTTTCATCAACTGAAGAGAGAACTCGTTTCCTTCCTTCTCCGCCGCAAAATGAAGCTTCTTCGCCGCCGTTTCTTCAACTCCGTCAATACAATCACCAGACCAAACCGGCGTCAATACGCCACAAAGTATGTCGCCAAAGTCACTTCATCATCTCCCTCCGGCCGATCTCTCTCCGCCGAAGTTTCTCTTCCTAATCCTCTCCCCGCCGACGTACGAGGTTACCCTCTTCCTCGCCGCCATCTCATCTGCAGAGCCACCAATCTCATCATTGGAGCTACTAATCTCTCCGATGCTTTCTCTGACCTCTCTGATTACCTCTCTTCTCTCACACTCTCCCTCACTCCCGACGAAGCTTCAGAGATTCTCAAATCCCTAAATTCTCCTCTCGTCGCCGTCGAGTTTTTCAAATTCGTCCCTTCTCTTTGCCCTAACTCTCAAAATGACCCTTTTCTCTACAATCGAATCATCTTAATCCTCTCAAGGTCAAATCTTTCAGACAGATTCGATCGTGTTCGCTCGATTCTCGATTCCATGGTGAAATCTAACGTCCATGGAAACATATCAACTGTGAATATCTTAATAGGTTTCTTCGGTGACACGGAAGATTTACAAATGTGTTTAAGATTGGTGAAGAAATGGGGTTTAAAGATGAACTCTTTTACCTACAAGTGTCTCCTTCAAGCTTACTTAAGATCTCGTGATTCTTCTAAAGCTTTTGATGTGTATTGTGAGATTAGAAGAGGAGGACATAAGCTTGATATCTTTGCTTACAATATGTTGCTTGATGCTTTAGCTAAAGATGAAAAGGTACGTTCTTTTTGAGAGAGAGCTCACTTGTTTTTGATTCATAGAACTCTCTTTGAGTAAAGTTTTGGTTTTTATGTATAATTGTGTGCAGCCTTTTGTCAGATTGATCAGGCTTGTCAAGTTTTCGAAGATATGAAGAAGAGACATTGTAGAAGAGATGAGTATTCGTACACGATTATGATCAGGACTATGGGGAGGATTGGGAAGTATGATGAAGCTGTTGGTTTATTCAATGAGATGATTACTGAAGGGCTGACGCTTAATGTTGTTGGTTATAATACTTTGATGCAAGTTCTTGCGAAAGGGAAAATGGTTGATAAGGCGATTCAGGTTTTCTCTAGAATGGTGGAAACGGGTTGTCGACCGAATGAGTATACGTATAGTCTTGTTTTGAATCTTTTAGTAGCTGAAGGTCAGCTTGTGAGGTTAGATGGGATTGTGGAGATTTCGAAAAGATATATGACTCAGGGGATATATTCTTATTTGGTTAGAACGCTGAGTAAGTTAGGGCATGTAAGTGAGGCTCACAGGCTATTTTGTGATATGTGGAGCTTCCCTGTGAAAGGAGAGAGAGATAGTTACATGTCGATGCTGGAGAGTTTGTGTGGTGCGGGTAAAACTATTGAAGCGATAGAGATGTTGAGCAAGATTCATGAGAAAGGTGTGGTTACTGATACTATGATGTACAACACTGTGTTCTCGGCGCTTGGGAAGCTAAAGCAAATATCTCATATACATGATCTCTTTGAGAAAATGAAAAAGGACGGTCCTTCTCCAGATATATTCACCTACAATATACTTATCTCTAGTTTCGGCCGGGTAGGAGAAGTTGATGAGGCTATTAACATATTTGAGGAGCTTGAGAGGAGTGACTGTAAACCCGACATTATTTCTTACAACTCTTTGATTAATTGTTTGGGGAAGAACGGTGATGTTGATGAAGCCCATGTGAGATTCAAGGAGATGCAAGAGAAAGGATTAAACCCTGATGTGGTCACATACAGCACTCTGATGGAATGTTTTGGGAAAACAGAGAGAGTCGAAATGGCGTATAGTTTGTTCGAAGAGATGCTTGTTAAAGGGTGTCAACCAAACATTGTGACATACAACATTTTGCTTGATTGTCTAGAGAAGAGCGGGAGAACCGCGGAAGCAGTTGATCTGTACACAAAGATGAAACAGCAAGGACTCACACCAGATTCCATTACCTACACTGTGCTCGAACGGTTGCAGTCTGGCTCTCATGGAAAATCTCGTATCCGTAGGAAGAATCCGATAACAGGTTGGGTTGTCAGCCCTCTGTAAATTAGTGAAATGAGGTCTGAGAATGATCCTAAACTGAAGAATGGAAACTGCAGATTTCTTGAGTTTCTAATGCAGTCTTCACAAATACTGTCTTCTCCGCGTCGCTCTGCTTGATTATCAGGTGAGTATTATAATCTGCGCTGGCAAGTTTGTGCGAGAACTGAAAATTTTGAATCAGGAGAATAACTCATTGGTGTTTGAAGGTTTTGCTCTTAGGCTATTGTAATGTACTAATGTTATCAAAGAGTGATGAGTTAGAAATTTTCTCAATGAGAAGAACTAGATTTTTTTGAAATTACTGGTTAAGGAATTAATTAGTTTTTCTCAATGTTTGCTTGTTCTTGAGTTGGTGGAATTAGAAGTTCAGAGAACAAGATTACGTACCTAGCTTGACCGAAAATTTCAATTTATGAAACATAAATTAGCTAAAACCCCACCAAAAACAACTTGCTAAACTCATGAGGAAGATAACGTTTTAAAAGATCATGAGAAACAAATGTACAATAATAAGATAACCAAAAGGAAAGGAAGATTTTTTTAAAAAAGAAGTTAAATTCCTCCATGGAAATCAAAACGGATCATAGGAACAAGAATAGCGTGGTGGTAGCTGTTGCAACATACTCACACCGCTAACGCTACTCTTAGACGCCATAACTTCATCTAGCGACAACCTCTTCCTCTCAGATCGCTGACGCGGTGCGCTATGTGACCGTACCTTCGCCTTAAAGGATTTTGTTTTCTCCATGTAGCCAGGAGTACTCACACTGCGTCCATAGTCACACAAAGTGTTTCCACAAACACTCTTAGCTGGAGACTGCATTACATAGTAGCGATTATTAGCAGAATGGTGGTGCGAGAATCTCGGTGTGTTCTGCGCCGTAGCAAACTTCCACTTCTCATCCGAGAAACTCAACTCTAAATCATTTGCTTTGTAAACAAAATCGTCTTCATAGTCAGACATTGCAACAATATTGTGCACTTGTCTGGATTTTGATCTTGAACTTGATCTCCTCATGTATATATCGTCCATCTCTACAATCTTTGGTCTTCTCTCATCGCACGCTGCGTCATCAAACTTATCCTATCAACAAAGAACACACTTGACTCTTGTTTTTAGCTTAAAGAAAAAAAGAGAGCCAGTGGAAGTGAGATTGGTTCTTTACAAGAGATTGTCGAGGTTGAAACGTGTTGTTGTACTCTTTGTTGAGACAGCGATTGATGCGTTTCGATCGCATAGCGGTTTGGACTCTGATCAAAGTTTGTATTCTTTGCAGCATCGCGGCCGCGCGTTTCCTTACTAAGTATCCTCTCACTAACGCTTGTAGCTTCACTATACCTTTCAAAGCTCTTAATGCTTTCCTTGCCTAACCATAAAATATATATATATTCAAATTGACAATTGTTTATAAACGATCGATTTAAGGATTCACATTTGCTTAAATTTAAATCTATGAAGAAAAAATTTCAAACAGACAATTGTCTCTTAACCAAAAATTCGAACATAACAAAACCATTTGCCAACATTTGATCTTTGAAGAAAAGACTCCAAATTGACAAATGTTTCTAATCTTTTTTTGATTATTAGCCAAATTTTGATATTTGAAGAAAAACTTCCAAAATTTCGACAGTTGTTCTAATAAAAAAATCGAACTAGACAACACCCATTTGCCAAAATTTGATCTTTGTTTTAAAAACAAAATTGTTTTTGAAAAGAATAATAAAAAAAAAAAAAAAACATTTAAAGATGTCGAAATTACCAAAGAGCCCCTGAAGACTTTTTGTATTTTCACGGCGGCCCACCGCTCCTCCCTTGTGATCAAATCTCCCGCTCCTTCACTAGTCAGTCTAACCACAGCCGCAGCCGCTTCAGCAGCAGTGGCCGTTGCAACTGCAATTGCGTTCTTGTTCTGTTCCTTCTCTGTATCAGTCAGAAAAGTTCCCAGCCAAACAGAGTCCCTAGGAACATTGAAGTCGCCGGAATGGTCGCCACCTTTGTCGGAGTCGCCGCCAGAAACGTGGCTTCTTTCTCTACTCTTCTTCATACCAAAAAAGCCCTTAAACCATCTCACTGCTCTGCCCATTTCGATTTCAAAGAATCAAGAACACTTATGTTTTGGTAGTCTGCGATGTGACGATTCAGAAAAAAATTGTTAAAGAATGACAAATTCACGAATACCCAAAAAGAACGTTTTGTATGTAGAGAGGAAAACAAAATTTCATTGCATTTAATTTGAAATTTATTTACTTTCAAACTTTGTTTTTATCACTTGTTAAAATTTTCAATATGTCAGTGGTTATATTTCCTCACAAAAATCCAAAACATTTTACTATAGAACATTGTTATGAATATAGCTAAAAGAAGTGTATTACTATGACCAAAATGGATATATTATTTTTCTTACACTGTAATCATGAGATAAACAGAAAAATTGAACAGCAATGAACTGACAATACTTGTTATCACTCTACAAAAAAAGTAAGAATCATCATCCTATATTCCTATTGAA